CAGCTCAGAGCCTGGAGCCTGTTTCAGATCCTGTGTCTCCCTCTCTCTCTGCCCCTCCCCCACTCATGCTCTGTCTCTCTCTCTCAAAAATAAATAAACATTAAAAAGAATGTTTTTTTAAGTTTCTATCATGCCTGCTATGTTCAGACTCCCTTTTCAGGGAAAATGATTGTCCACAAGCCCAGCTGCTCAGGCAGCCAGATTTCATACCATGTGACCACTGCCTCCCGCGTTAGCCAGCTGGACCCGAAGAAGGCATGGGCCCCAAAAAAGCCTCTTCCTATGATCCTCCATGATAAGTGAAGCTGGTTGTCACCTGCACTCTCCCTCTTGCTCTGACTCAAAGATCACTGAACCAAGAAATGGAGGTAGGGGAGGGGGAATAGCTTTTTGGCGGGGGGAAGGGGGGGCGGGGTGCTAACACTGAAAAGTCGTGATGTAGAGGAAAGCGAGACTCCAAGGGACCATGGGCCAAACCAAGGGTGGGAGGAGAGCACGCCAACTCTGGCCAAATAGAAGAGGCTTTGACAAATCAAGAATGGTAAGTTGTGGGGGCGCCTGGGTGGCTTAGTCGGTTAAGCGTCCGACTTTTGCTTAGGTCATGATCTCACAGTTCGTGGGTTCGAGCCCCGCGTCGGGCTCTGTGCTGACTGCCAGCTCAGAGCCTGGAGCCTATTTCAGAGTCTGTATCTCCCTCTCTCTCTGACCCTCCCCTGCTCACACTGTCTCTCTCTCTCTCCTGGAAATAAATAAAACATTAAAAAAAAATACCACAAAAGACCATGATCAACTGGAAGATAATGACAGGAAAAACAGATAATGTCTTTCATATACAAAGAGTTTTTATGAATCAATAAAAAGGATTTAAATACCAAACTAGGAAAAAATGGACAAAGGGCATGATAAATAATTTAAAAAGGAAATATTCATATTACCATTAATACAAGTAAATATATTCTAGTATCACTATCTCACTAGTAATCAAACAAATGTAAACTAAAAACTCGCTTTGGGGGAAATTAAAATACTATTTTTTATTTTTTTAATGTTTATTTATTTTTGAGAGAGACAGAGTGTGAGCAGGGGTGAAAGAGAGAGAGATGGAGACACAGAATCTGAAGCAGGCTCCAGGCTCTGAGCTGTCAGCACAGAACCCAAGGCAGGGCTCGAACTCAGGAACTGCGAGATCATGACCTGAGCTGAAGTTAGATGCTCTACTGACTGAGCCACCCAGGCGCCCCTAAAATACTAATATTAAATATAAGAAAAGATGCAAGTAAACACACGCCCTCATTCACTGTTGATGGAAATAAAAGTCAGTACAACTTTACTGAAAGGCAATTTGGCAATTTGTATCCTAACAGTGAAAATATTCATACCCTTTGACCCACTTTCTAGTTAGAGATCAAATCTTAAGCAAATCATATGAAATATCCACAAAAGAGATCCATCAAAGTTACATCTAATGACAAAACATTGAGTACCTAAAAATCATACATAAAGAGATTCTTTAATTCTTGCCTTATTTATATACTAGGTATTACATGTTATGTTGTAGAGATTTATTTTGGGGCACCTGGGTGGCTTGGTCAGTTAAACGTACAGCTTCGGCTCAGGTCATGGTCTCACAGTTCATGAGTTCGAGCCCCGCGTCAGGCTCTGTGCTGACTGCCAGCTCAGAGCCTGGAGCCTGCTTCAGATTCTGTGTCTCCCTGTCTCTCTGCCTCTCCCCCTCTCAAGAATAAATAAACATTTTTTAAAAATTTGGGGCGCCTGGGTGGCTTAGTCGGTTAAGCGTCCGACTTTCGCTTGGGTCATGATCTTGCGGTTTGTGGGTTTGAGCCCCGCGTCGGGCTCTGTGCTGACTGCCAGCTCAGAGCCTGGAGCGTGCTTCAGATTCTGTGTCTCCCTCTCTCTCTGACCCTCCCCTGCTTGCGCTGTCTCTCTCTCTCTCCTAAAAATAAATAAAACATTAAAAAAAAAAAATTTAAACTTCTATGACGGGTGTTCTGAGAGAAGCGGCAGTTAAGCGCTGAGGGAGCCCAGGATGGCGCAAACAGCAGTAACGCTGTGCGTGATGTGCTCTGACTCTGCTCTAGAACTCGCTGGGTTCCTGACTCCAAGCCTGCAGCCTTCATCCCCAGCTGTGGCTCTTGGACTTGTGAAAGCACACAAATGACAGGAGAGGGGGCTGCTGGCCTGCGTGAAGAACCACCGTGCATTTTTAACAAATCCTCTCCCCCGCCCTAGGGCACTGGTGTAAGTGGCCCCCCTCGAGAACCCCTTCACCTTGGGGATGCCCACCTCTGCCCAGGAGCATCGAGGAACTCATTTATTTGCTCATTTCACCCAGCAGATGCTCGCAGAGCCAGATGCCAGGCGCCAACCTAGGCCCCTGGGCCGTATCTGTGAACAAAGCAAAGATTCCTGGCTTCATGAGCTTTTGTTCAGTACCAGGGAGAGAGACAGAATTTTTTTTAAACCTTAGTAAATAAGTAAAGCACCTAGACTATTAGAAGAAATACCAAATAGATGGGGCACCTGGGTGGCTCAGTCGGTAAAGCATCCGACTTCAGCTCAGGTCACGATCTCATGGTTCATGGGTTTGAGCCCCGCGTGAGGCTCTGTGCTGATGGCTGGTTCAGAGACTGGAGTCTGTCTTCAGATTCTGTGTCTCCCTCTCTCTGACCTTCCCCTGCTCATGCTGTCTCTCTCTCTCAAAAATAAATAAAACATTAAAAAAAAAAAAAAAGGAAATGCCGAATAGAAACAAAAAGAAAGACAAGGTTGAGGACGGTTAAAGGGGCTGGAGACCGGAGGGGGATGGATGGGGTCAGGGAAGGCAGAGGGCAGCCCCACAGGTGTAAGGAAACAAGTCCAAACCATACAAACTCCATGTCAGACCTTAAGTTTCCCCTCTAAACTAAAAGGCCTAAGTTTCAGCTTCCCCGAAACTATCAGGCAGCTACACACTGCCCAAGGCCGAAGAAACTGCCCACCACTTCACTCCACCACACTACCTTGGCAACGCCCAATCAAGAAAGGCCAGCAACTATAGATAAATCTCAGCTGCCTAATGTAAAAGTTAACCCATTAGTCACCGAACAAGACTCTAGGCTCGCTCTATGGTTGGTTGAATTTAAGGGTACCCTGAATGTTGTAATTGGATCCTGCCAAAAGTAACAGATACTCTGGATAACATGTATGGTTAAACCCGCTGTCAATAATGCTGTATAATTACGACTGGATCACTGTTCTCGTGTCACAACTTCTGTACCTCCCCCGTCACAAACCTTATAAAACCCCTACTCTTGGGGCGCCTGGGTGGCTTAGTCGGTTAAGCGTCCGACTTTCGCTTAGGTCATGATCTCGCGGTTTGTGGGTTCGAGCCCCGCGTCGGGCTCTGTGCTGACTGCCAGCTCAGAGCCTGGAGCCTGTTTCACAGTCTGTGTCTCCCTCTCTCTCTGACCCTCCCCTGTTCACGCTGTCTCTCTCTCTCTCTCCTAGAAATAAATAAAAATATTTAAAAAAAAAAAAACCCTACTCTTGCTTTGTTCTGGACTCACAGCACGGATCCACCGCGCTGGTAAAGTCTGTGAGTCCGAGCTCGAGCCCGTAATAAAGCCCTTTGCCTCTGCATGCGTGACTCGGTCTCCCCCGTGGTTTCTGGTCGTTGAGGATACTGTGATCTGGGTATAACATAGGCACTTCCAGACAGAGGTAACAACCTAAGCAAAGGCCCCAAGTAGGAGTGTGTTTGAAGAACAGCTGGGGAGGGGGGGCAGTGTGGCTGGAGTGGAAGGGGCGAAGGGGGAGAGGGTTTTGAATGAAGGCTGGAGAGAGGTGTAGACGGCTCAGGCGAGGCGGGGTGGTGGGGATGAGAAGCAACGGTCCTGGGTTTTTGTGAAGGTTGGACCAACAGAATTTGCTGATGGAATGAGGTGGGGTGTGAAGGACAGTGGAGTCAAAAATAATAATAGTGGGGTTTGGGGACACCTGGGTGGCTCTGTCCGTGGAGCGTCTGACTCTGGATTTCGGCTCAGGTCATGATCTCACGGTTCACGAGATCGAGTCCCGAGTCCGGCTGTGCGCTGACAGCGCGGAGCCTGCTTGAGATTCTCCCTCTCCCCCTCTCTCTGCCCCTCCCCCACTTGCACTCACTTTCTCTCTCTCAAAATAAATAAATAAACATCAAGGAAAAAAAAATGATAACCAGGGTTTCTGGACAGAGCAAGTGGGAGGCAGAATGAGCGGGCTTTGGACAGGGCAGGCTAGCGGCTTGGGGTGGGGGTCTGAACCACCACCAAGTAGCCACTTGGACTAGGGAGGCAGCTGAACCCACTGGTCTGGAGGTCAGGAGAGTGATCCGGGGTGAAGGTCACTGGTGACCTTGATGAGCACAGCTCCTATCGGAGTAGGAGGCCAAAGCCTGGCCGAACGGGTGTCAGGGAGGAGGGGAGAGGAGCTGCAGAGGAAGCTAGAAAAGGCAGCACCTGAGATTTGTGTTGAGGTCCTAAAAGGTGAGACGGACAGAATTCAAACCCGAAATCCACACTCTCAACCCGCACAGCCTCCCGCAGCCACAGAAGGTGGTGGGGAGGGAGTGGCCTTCAAGGGGATGATGAACACCGGCACGCAGGGGTGCGGGGTGGACCGTAGCAGAAGCACAGCTGTGAAGGGATCACAGGGCGATTTTTTTAAAGCTTCCAGGTGGTTCTACAGCGCAGCCCAGAGTGAGAACCGGAGGAGAGGGCATCTGAAGGGGAGAGTGCAGTGACTGACCTGAAGATCAGGCTGAGATGAGCACATACTCATTCGACACGTGGGGAAACCGAAGCAAAGGGAGATGAGGTCACATACCCAGGGTCAGCCTGAAAGTGGCAAAGGGGGAACTAGAAGTCCAGCCTCTTCTGCAACCGCAGGGAGAAAAGAGCCGGCCCAGCCCTCCTGCAGACGACTCCATCTGCAGTTGCAGCCCCTGTGTTATAATACACACTCACCACCCCCCAGCTCTGCTCCAGGGTGACTCCCTCAGCTGTGGGCACCGGACAGGACCAGAGAGCACAGGGACCATACTTCCAGAAGAATTTTCAACCCAACAGGTGAAACAAGACAAAAAGAATGCTTTTCTTCAAGGTTGCTACTGAAGCGCTCCATTCCACAAACATCCAGCCCCTGTAGCCCCATGGCAAGAGCTTTGCCATTTTGTATTTTTAAGTTTATTTGTTTGTTTTTGTGAGAGACAAAGACAGTGCGAGTTGGGGAGGAGCGGAGAGAGGGAGGAAGAGAGAAAATCCCAAGCAGGCTCTGCATTGTCAGCGCGGAGCCCGACGCGGGGCTCGAACTCACGAAACTGTGAGATCAGGACCTGAGCCAAAACCAAGAGTCAGATGCTTTAAACCGACTGAGCCACCCAGGTGCTCCTGCCATTTTGGGTTTTTTTTTTAATGAAATATTTCAGATGAACAAAAACTACAGAAAGTAGGCTACTGAGCATGACTCCTGAGGACGGTTCAATCAAGACGGATTTCATTTTCAGAAAAAGCAGACTGACTATACAGCCTTGGGGGCTCAGAAGCCAGACAGCCTGGGTTCGGATTTGGGCTCTGATACTTACTAACTGGATAGCCCTGAACGAGTTACCCAACTTCTCCCAGCCTCAGTTTCCCCCACTGTTAAGACGGGCATACGTGGAGCACTTGATTCATGGGGTTGTCCTGAGGATCAAGTAGCTTAATCCCTACAGAACATACAGCAAATACTGCCTGGCACATAGGAAGGCTTCTGTGTGTGTTGGGGGGGGGGGGGGGGGCGGGTCCTGACTTGGAAAGTTCTCAGCTCCAGGACCAGCTGCAGAGGCTGTGGAGGTTGTGAAACACTGCCCAAGCACAGACCATCCTTGTTCCCAACCCACGTGCTTCGGTGAGTGTGGCAACCCCAACCTCAGCCCCCGCATTTCTGATGCTCTGAGGGAAATTCCTAGAAGCTAGTAATAACAAGGATGACTGAATTCCAGCGTGGGTTCCCGGGAAGGGACTTCCCAGCAAAGAGTTGGGAGTTTAATACCAAGGTTTTAGGAAGAGAAGAAACCCGTGAGGGGCTGGGCATCAACCCTGTCCGACAGGGGCTGCGTTTTCAGAAGCCCAAACCCAAGTCCGCCCATGACTCTGCCCTTCCCTGCTCTGCTGCTGTGTGAGCTTCAGGAATCACTCAACGTCTCTGAGCTTCTCTGGTTCAGTGGGGCCACAGGGGCCTATCCAGCAGAGTTGTGGAGATCATGGGGGCAAAAGCTGTAAAAGCGCGTGTCCCTGTGAGAGGGTTGAGACCCTGTGCCCTGGGCTGGGGGGCGCAGAGAACAAGACCGGAGGCCTGACTGTCCACACTCCCCGGCCTCGGGCCCGCAGAGAAGGTGGAGGTGGGGCTGACGCATCACTTCCTCCCTCGCAGGCTGTCGTGAAAGGACTAATGGCAGCTCCAAAGGACACCAGGTCCTGCCCCAGCGGCCCAAAGGTATCTGAGAAGAAGGAGGCAAAACTTCTCTGCCCTCCCACGCTCCTGACCTCCCGGCCTGGAGGCCCGCGCTGTGACCGAGTCCAGCCTCACTCCACGTGAATCGGGACTGCCTCCTAACTCAGATCAGGACATGGCTCAGAGATGGGAAGTCACGTGCCCAGGGTCTCAGAGCCCCCCAGGAAACACTGCCAGGACTCCAAGGGCCAAATTCTCCCCGCTGTACCAAGTAGTTCACAGGAAGGTACTGACTTCCGATAACAACGCCCCATGCGAGCTGGGCCTCTACCTCCATGCTCTCTGGGCCTGCCGTACACTTGATCATTCACTGGCACGGCCCTATTCACCCCTCAAGATGGGCTCAGCATGTCCACCTCCGTGCCTGCCCCGACACCCTATCCTACAGTGTAGCCGCTGCTTTCGCAGGCCGCAGCCCTGCTTATCGGAGGACTAGAATTGTTAAGCCGAGCCCATGCGAAGGAGTGATGAGGCTCCGATGCCCAGCCCGCCAGCTAGACCCAGCGGCCAGCCTGGCACATACAATGTTCCTGCAGAGGGTTGTGGCCTCGGTGAATGCGCTGCTTCCTCCTTAAGCCCCTCCCAGCCGCAGCCCCTCCTGAGTGCGGGTGAATCCGTGCAGGGCCTAGGGCCCCACTGCTACTTGAAAAGGGTCCTCTTCTCTTCCCTTCCCTTAGCCCCTTAACAAGCACGACAGAGACCTGTCAGAACGGCAGGCAAACTTCCAGGGTCATAACAGTTGTCAAGAAGGGAGTCTAGAATCAAGAGATCCGAGGTTAAGCCCATCAATTTCCTCATAGGGAGACAGAGCAGGGACAGGACTCAGATCCCGTCAACCCTGACCGTGAAATCCAATATTCCTGGGCTGGCTCCATAAGGAGGAAAAAAAAAAAAAAAAAGCTACAGCTCTGGCCTCTGGAATAGCATATCTTGCAGGAATTCAGAGGGAGGATGCACACTTGAATGGAGGATGTTTACTGCAAAGACTGGCTTAGACCAGACCAAAACAATGTGCAAGAGGGACCCCAGGGCTGAACTTGCGCAGACTTTTCCTCTCATTAGAATACTCAAAATCACGCCAGGGGGCGGTGATTTGACATGCTAATTAGACCTACCACACACAAAGAAGTATGACCTGTAAGTGCTCCGGTGCTAATAAATCCCCCTGCGCACACACATGCTTCCCCGGCCCCCTTTTCCCACCTAAGTTTCTTTTCTTTTTTTCCTTTAAGTTTATTTATTTTGAGAGAGAGCGCGCGCAGGAGAGGAGCAGAGAGGGAAGGAGAGGGAGAGAATCCCAAGGAGGCTCTACACTGTCAGAGTGGGGCCCCACCTGTGGCTCGAACTCATGACCTGAGCTGAAGTCAAGAGCAGCAAGTTCAACCACCCAGGCGCCCCCCCACCTAAGTTTCTTTGAAAAATGCACCCTGCAGTCAGCCTGCAGATTCTTTCGTTTGTGTTGCCTCCCTTGTGATGGAGCGTAAGCCCCCAATAAAGCGTTTCCTGGAACTCTCAGCCTCTTCCGAATTTCTATGGTTTCAAGAGCCCACGGGCCGGTTTGGGATCCAGAGTACAAAGCCCCGGTTTCACTTTGGATCTTCACTTCTCCAGCCAGCCACCAGAGACTGAAGGGCGCCATGGCTGGAGAAAGGCTCCTGGCCCACTCGTTCTAGATTTGGCAAACGGACAGGTCAGGGCTGACCAGGAGGCGTCACAGGCCAGCCCAGACAGTAGACACGCAGCCCCTCTATTCCAGGGAGGTCCGGACAGCTGCTCTAACAACAGATGACATCTGTCAAGCCCTGAGAGGCAATGGCACTAACAGCAGGGAGGTAGGGGCTGTATTCCCTGTGATGAAGGAAAAACAAAGGCAAGAAAACTGTAGTGTCAATTGCATTTCCTTACAGCTTGCAGCTCACCCTGATAGACACCCAAAACATGCAGAGGGGACCTTCCTCAAGGAACTCACGGCTGCCTTAGTGCCTTATGTTTACATTTTATTAAAGACTAAAAGTAGGGGCGCCTGGGTGGCTCAGTCGGTTAAGCATCTGACTCTTGATTTCGGCTCAGGTCATGGTCAACTGGGCTCCATGCTGACAGCGCAGAGCCTGCTCGGGATTTTCTCTCCCTTTCTCTCTGCCCCTCCCCTGCTTGCTCTCGCTCTCTCTCAAAATAAATAAATAAACATTAAAAAAAAAAAAAAAAGACTAAAAGCAACCTTATCTTAACAGCAGCTAGCCCCTCAAGGTCCTGAAAGCCTTGCTTTGAAATTCCTTAGAAACTTACTTTATCTTGATCCCGCTCCCTCCCTCCACAAACTTAAAAGTATAGAATCAGTTGCTCCTGGTGGGGGGGGGGGGGGCGCCTGGGTGGCTTAGTCGGTTAAGCGGCTGACTTTCGCTTAGGTCATGATCTCACGGTTCGTGGGTTCGAGCCCCACGTCGGGCTCTGGGCTGACTGCCAGCTCAGAGCCTGGAGCCTGTTTCAGTCTGTGACTCCGTCTCTCTCTGACCCTCCCCTGCTCGCGCTGTCTCTCTCTCTCTCCTAGAAATAAATAAAACATTAAAAAAGAAAATTAAAAAAAAAAAAAGAATCAGTCGCTCCTCACAATCCCAGTGCAGTTCTTTCCTGTCCCCGTGCTAAAATTACCTTTTTGCACCAAAAACATCCCAAAATTCCTTTCACAGCCTCTTGCTCACAAATCCCACTTTAAATTTCATCACTTGCGTGCAGACTAACAGGGAGAAGTTGTCCGTAGAAAAATTTTGAAACAAGAAGAACATGCCAAAAGTCAATCGGCTGTTTATTATCATCAGGCACCAACGATTTTAAACAATATTAGTGATAAAATACTACTCCCCCCCAAAGCTATTTCATTGTCTAAGTTCCGCTTGCTGTGGTTACTACCAAGATTTAATCATATGTATGAGCCTCAGATCACCACGTTATTATTTCCTTTCCTTTAAAAACTTTTGCCTTTGGGGTGGCTCGGTGGCTCAGTCGGTTAAACGTCCGACTTCAGCTTAGGTCATGATGTCACAGTTCATGGGTTTGAGCCCCGAGTTGGGATCTGCACTGACAGCTCAGAGCCTAGAGCCTGTTTCTGATTCTGTGTCTCCCTCTCTCTCTCTGCCCCTCCCCTTCTTGCGCTGTCTTTCAAAAGAAGCAAACATTTTAAAAAATTTTTAATAAAAAATAAAATAAAAAACTTTGCCTTTTACATGGAAATTCAACCAGAGAACACCCAGTTAGATAGTCTGCGGACACACAGACTCAATCACTGTCCAAGCTCCAATGGCTCAAGGGCAATTCTGAGCTTGCTTTCCACACAGTTTGTGTACCAACTGTCAAGGTCCTACATTTTCCTGTGTTTAAACAGAAGACAAAAGAATTGATTCTCACAGCAGCAGAAGAAACTAAAAGAGAAATGGCACATTTTCATCAAGAGCTAGATTTATTCTAAAGCAATTGGATTAAATAAATGTCAGTGTTCACTATCATTCAACCAGGTTCTCGGATTTTTCCAGAAGAAGGAAAACTTGGGAGAATTTTGCCAAATAAGATAAAAACGTATGATGAATTTTCTGGTGATGACGTTGTAGTGAAAATGTTCCACATGTGGAGATATTTAAAAGCCAGCAGATTGATTTTTTTTTTAAGAAGCAGTATCACAATTTCTGGAATTTATTCTGAAATGTGCTTTTTATGAATCTCTGACAGACTTGTTCTCACGTGTAAGACTTTTCCTATTTGTGAATCCGTGGTTTCATGTGAGAGAAGCTTTTAACATTAAAATTAATATAAAGTGCTTTTCAGGGGCGCCTGGGTGGCTCAGTCAGTTCGGCGTCCAACTTCGGCTCAGGTCATGATCTCATGGTTTGTGGGTTCGAGCCCCGCTACAGGCTCTGTGTTGACTGCCAGCTCAGAGCCTGGAGCCTGTTTCAGTCTGTGACTCCCTCTCTCTCTGACCCTCTCCTGCTCACGCTGTCTCTCTCTCTCTCTCTCGGAAATAAATAAAACATTTTAAAAAATGCTTTAAAAGAAAACAGTGTTTCTCCGAAAAAAAATCAATTAATTAATTAACTAAATGATCACTCAGATATGCCAGGTACATACTGACGTCGGTCACCTTTTTGTGGACTGAGATAATAATAATAGTGTATTTCGGTCGAGCACTAAATCTGTATGTGAAACACTACTCTGAGCACAGCCTTGTATTAAGGCATATAATCTTCACTTTAGGGAACAGAGTAGATTCGAAACAGGAAGTGCTCAGAAAGAACAGCAGTTGGCACACAAATTCACCGCCAAGAGCTCGGTGAGAACACAGCCCCAGGTGGGTCTACTTCAAAAGCTGGTGAACTGAAGCATTTGCTAAGCCCCTTTATGATTTCTGAACCACATCAGATTAGAAAAAGGAAAAGTGAAAGCCTGGAAACCGCTGGCCCGGCTAGTCATGCGGTGAGTCAGCTGAGACCAGATAAGTCCCGGAGAGAAGGTCAGACCCAAGCCCACATATTCTGGTCTGACTCTGGAAGGCAGCACAGGACCTTTGGGGAGAAAGTCGCCCCCTGCTGCCTCGGGACAGGTGTCTGTGCCAGGGGAGCAAACACGGAGACTTCTCCACCAGGCGCTGGCTTACCCCCATCTGACACCCGATGCCCGGCGGCGGCCCCTGGAGGGGTGGGCCCACGTCCTCCAGGATCCTTCCCAAAAGTCAGAACTCCGGCTTCCGGCCCATGAGTGCCCCCTGAAACACACCCCCCACCCCAGCCCACGCCGCCCCACACTTACTTTGGAGGCTCGCATCTTTTTTCGTGCTGTGGACCTTCAATTTCAGGCTGGAGTTCGGTTTATCTGCTGCGCAAAGGCCTGAGGCTTGGGGGGAAGCAGGGATTCGTTATGTCAGTAATGGGGAACAGCCTTCCCAGGACCCCAGGGTACGGGGGCTTCTGGCAAAAGGGTCGTGCGCAGTTCTCCTCTGCCCCTCCGGGGGGCCGCCACCTCGCTCCTTTCCAGTCCCTCGCCGACTCCCTCCCTGCCCCTGAACTTGGCCGCGAACTGGACGAACCCCCCTCGAAAGGTCAGGGGAGGCTCACCCCCGCCACCAGAGAGGCGGCGGCGCGGCCCTGGGAGCGCGATGTGTCGCCCGCCCAGGGTGGCGCAGGTGCCAGGGGGCGCCTCTGCTGGCGGGCTGCTCCCTAACTTCCTTCCTCCCGCCTCGCTCAACTTCGCCGCCGCGCACGCAGCGGTCTGGGACCCGGAGGGCCACCCCGAGCATCTCGCCTTTCCTTAAGTCCGGACAGGACCTCTCCACCCACCTCACCGACTGGAAGGCAGCGCCAGCCACCAAGGGATGGGCTTTAATGGCCGCAGAGGCCGGGCCAGCGTAAGGTCACCCAGCTCCTCCCCGCGCGGCTGACTAATGAGAGCCGGTAGAGCTCCCTGCCCGGCGACACGGATGGCCGGCTCCGGCCCCCGGGGGGGGGCCCTGGGGCCGACAGGCCAGGGTGCCTCCCACTCCCGACACCGCCTCTCTCCACGCCCTCCTCCACCCAGAGGCGTCCTGAAACTCAGTTCCAGCGCCACAGTTCCAGCGCCACGGCATCCTCACCCCTTCCCCCCGACGCATGCTTCCGGCTGCCCAGGATTTGAGGCCGTCTTGTATTATCCTCCATCTGTATACACAGCACACTGGAGTGTAATCAGTTCACGTACTTCCTCCATTCAAGAGGGCTCGCAGATTAAAACTATATTAAATTTGAAAGTCATTTGAAGGCAAAGGTCTAGCAGAAAGAAAGCACTTTGGGGGCGTCTGGGTGACTCAGTCGGTGAGGCTTCTGACCTCAGCTCGGGTCATGATCTCCAGGTTGGTGGGTTTGAGCACCGTATGGGGCTCTGTGCTGACAGCTCCGAGCCTGGAGCCTGCTTCGGATTCTGTGTCTCCCTCTCTCTCTGCCCCTCCCCAACTTGCACTCTGTCTCTCTCTAAAAAATAAACATTCAAACAATATTTTAAATAAAAAAAGAAAAAGAAAAGAAAGAAAGAAAGAAAGAAAGAAAGAAAGAAAGAAAGAAAGAAAGAAAGAAAGAAAGAAAGAAAGAAAGAAAGAAAGAAAGAAAGAAAGAAAAAGCAAGCAAGCACTTTTAACTTTTGGGTCTTAAGCCCTCAGCTAGCCCCCAAAGATGGCACACAGCAGGCATCCGAGGAATGAATGAATGAATGACCTAACACTGGCCTTTCCTGGCACTGAGTTCTGACTGGGCTGTGACTCCCTAAAAGTAGCACCAACTCCTGTTCACGTCTCTTCTGGTCACTGCCCACCCGTCCCTGAGCCTTGCAGTCAAGATGCCTGGGCTGTCACTTGCTAGAGGGTCCAAGATGCCCTTCCCTCTCTGAGCCTCAGTGTATTCATCTCTTACACGGAGTGATGATGATATTGGACAACATGTAAGATACTATATAAAAATACATTCCCCAAAGGGAGAGCAACAAAAGAAATAATGCTTGTAAAGTGCTGAGCCTGTTGAATGGCACGTGGTGTAACCTCATTGGGGCACGTTGGCCGCTAACATGCTCATCAACATCACATGTCATTCACTAGCTTCCCAACAGGACAGTCAGAGGTGACACAAATCATACCAGAGCTTTATGGGCATTTAATTGTAGTGAAGATGAAGCAGGTGACTTGTCTGTAAAGCAGGCCAACCCCAAGGTGGAAAGGTTCAGTTTTGAGCCCACCAGACTGATTTCTGCTTCTCCTAACTCAGGATTACCCTGATGGCACTTTCCTTCCCTCCTCCCCATCACTGTGCTGTGCCAGGAAAAACAAAGCATAAAGCATACAGGGCTGGGGGGGGGGGGGGGGGGGGGGGGGGTGGAGAGACTGGCTGAGGATGTCAAAGTGATTTTTACCTTCCACAAGCTCTCAAAAGAGGAGCTCCAGGGACGCCTGGGTGGCTCAGTGAGTTGAGCCTCCGACTCTTGGGTTTTGGCTCAGGTCATGATCTCAGTTTGAGTTCGAGGCCCACATTGGGCTCTGCGCTGGCAGTGCAGAGCCTGCTTGGGATTCTCTCTCTCTTCCCCTCTCTCTCAAAATACACATTTTTTTTTTTTACTTTTAAAAAGAAGAGCTCTGTAAGACAGACCACAGGCTGAGAAGCTACCAAATGATGTCGGTACCATCACCAGCAAGTCTCTCCTTAAGCCCCATCCCAAGTCCATCGTCCCTGTATGGGTAGGAAGCCACGCCAGGATCAACACCAAAGCCCCTGGTCTTTTCTGCAACTGCAGCCGCTGAGCCCTGTTCTTCCTCTGACCAGGGAAGAGGAGTATTAACTAATTAATTATTTGCAATGTCCCCATTCTCTGCCTTTTAAAAAAAAATTTTTTTTAATGTTTTTTATTTATTTCTGAGAGAGAGAGAGACAGCGTGAGCAGGGGAGGGTCAGAGAGAGAGACACACAGAATCTGAAACAGGCCCCAGGCTGAGCTGTCAGCACAGAGCCCGACGCAGGGCTCGAACCCACAAACTGTGAGATCATGACCTGAGCCAAAGTCAGACACTTAACCGACTGAGCCCAGGCGCCCCACCCCCACCCCCATTCTCTGCCTTCTAAGGTGGGGTTTGGCTACTCCAGGAGAATCCACTGTTTTGCCATTTGTGAGAGAGTAGGAGAAAATGGTTCAGGCTTGTGCTGAATGGCATGACGCCTTGTGGGGACCCCAAGCAGCTGGGGTAAGAGCAGCAAGAAGGCCAGGGCAGAAGAAAGGAGGAAAGGGGGTGGGGGAGGGGAAAGAGGGCAGGCAAGCCACATTTAATGGAACAGAATCCATTAGGAACATTTTGTGAGAACATGAGGGTTTCTGTTGCTTGACATTAACTCTCAAGACCTGAACACTTTTCAGGGGAAGCTGTCAGTCAACTGGGTACAGGTTGTTTTTTTTTGTTTGTTTGTTTTTTAAGTAGGCTCCGCCCAATGTGGGATTTGAACTCAAGACCCTGAGATCAAGAATTGCATGCTCTGCCAGCAACCCCTTAGCCAGCCAGGTGCCCCTGAAGGAAGTTTTTCTTTAAAACATTTATCCAGTATACTCTGGTGAGGCTCTGTGAATATGCCAGTTCTGCCAGCTTGCTCTGACTAGAAAAATCAGGATTGTATGAAAGCAAAGGAAGGTAAGGTAGAACTTCCTCCTCAATCTCCATCTCTGAAACTCTCGAAAGTCCTACTGAAGAGAACAAATCCCTGTTGAGAGGCCCTGAAGAGCTTCCCCTGCATCAGTGTGCAGCATAACCCCCACTACCTTCCCCGTGAAAGAACATTCCTGAAATGTCCCAGGCTTTATCATTCCACTGTTAAATGGCCTGTTTGGGGACTGTAATGGACATTCGATTTTGTCCAGAGGTCTTTCACTTGGTGACTCTATGTGGTTCTGGCGGAACCAAATCACACTACTCCATCCCGAATGGGGACATTTGTGACCTAGGTCCAGCTATCAGGCCCCAGCCCCCAGGCTATACCTACTGACCCTGGAAGGAACATATGACCCAAGCCAGACCAATCAGAAGCATTCTCCAAGATGGAGCTATGTATGTACACACTACACACACACACTTTAAAATGGGCAATGGGTCAAAAAAAAAAAAAAAACAGCCTCTTTCCTCTGGAGACATTTAAGTGGTATGATGCAAGTCTGGAAACATCTGTGACTTTCCTCCCCTGCAGCATGGAAGAAATCCATCCGCTTTTGGATTTACCGACAAACACCTGCGAGAAAAGACCTGTTGACATGCGTTCTTTCAGTGCCCGGTATCGATTTTACTCCTAGACATCCAGATACGATTGCTTTTTCTCCGATTAAGCTAATTAGAGTTGAAGTCATCTTTGCGAACTGATATATGGAAACCAAAGGCAAGAATGTCAGTGTGCCAAAGACGAACCAGTTTGCTGGGCTTCTCCCCGTCCACACACCCCCGCTTTCCCCCACCCTTCCCTTCTCCCCGGCTTATGCTAACGGGGGCATCTGCACTCTGATGAGCACCCAATTATTCACCGAAATCTTATCGTACCAGTTTTTGAGTTTGCGCCTTTCCTAACTAAACTGTGAGGACCTCGAACACAACAGCTCGGCTGGCACCTAACACATGACCGTCAGGGGGGATGGGGGGACGGATGGATGAATAGATAGATGGACGTTACTGACCCCAGCCAGCCTGTTTCAAACTAGAAACATACTAGAAATCCTCTTACTAGAGGGTCAAGTGGGCTATGTCTGGCAATTAGTCAATATTTGGGAAGTTCAATGCAACCTCCCACTGGTTCCAAGGTCACCAGTGAGACAGAAAGCTTTCGGTGGAGCTTGACCACACCCCAGTCCCAAAGAGGAACCATCTAACCAGATGAGTCAACCAAATGGAAGTGCTACAAGCTGCAGGGTCCTCACAAGTCCATGTTGTCTTAAATAAGATTTGCATTCGATGTTGGGCAGCGCCACCAAGTGTACTGCCCTCCCCAGCACTGTGCTAGGAAGACTGGTCAGTACAGCTGTGCAGGACAGAGAAAAGGTGACACGCTCAAACGACATTACCATTACCCCCTTTGACTTGGAGTTATCCACCCCTTAGATATCCTATTCGCTTTGCCAAGCCCAAATCTATCTCACACATCTTCCCATATTAAAGAATGGAGAAAGGAAAAAAAAAAAAAAAAAAAAAAAAACAACAGACAGATATGGTGCTGTGATCTTTATTCAATTAAATGACCTTACATCTAAGAAACAGAAAACATGCTTTTAAGAAACAAATTGCATAATCTCATCTCATTGCACTTTTTAAAAAGTATATTAAATTTTAAAGCCGTTCAAAGGCAAGGGTCTAGGAGAAAGTATTTTCAACGAATCATTTTGTAAAGAAAAGGAAGAAAAACTGAAAAGAAAACTTGTATATGCTCGGGATTAATATTGACCCCTTTAAGGCTTAAGTCCATGGCAGCATTTAGCCATCGAGATTAGAAAGCTTCCAGAATCAAATGCAATCTTCCCTTGGTCATAAGAGCACTCACTACATTTATATTTTTGTCTGGCACATGAAATTCCTTCCCAAGGAAGAAAAATTTCTTTTGAAAACTTTCTGCTTCTAGACCTAGAACTTGCAAACGTTCCTGATATGGGGTACTTTTGTCACTAATTTTCTAAGTGATCTCCTTTCTTTTCGTTACTACTTTTATTTATGGCTTCAGGTTTTCTGTACATGAAAGACGAGGGGTTCGAGCCAAAGTGCTGAATTTTTTTTTTAAAGAAAAACAGCTTTCAAAATAGTTTTTTCCAAATCCTAATGACATTTGTTAGTAAGTAGGATACGACGTGTACATTCCTTTTTCAGAGAAGGCACTATGACATTCTGATTTACAACAATGGTTTTAAGGAGCTCAGATGATCCTCTAGATGAGAAGCACCCTCCTTATTACTCTGAACATGGGAAAACTCTGAGCAGGGCCTCTGGAGGCAGACCACCCATTCGGGGCCTCTGGCCAGAGCTGTCCATCCGCTCGCCTCCAGACAGACAATACTGAATCGCGCTTCCCCACCCCCTTGGAGCAGTCTCTCTCATGGTCTCTGAGCACCACCTGCAATAGTGTCTATCAAAGAGGCAATTCCAGGGTCACAACCCAGACCCACCGAGGCCATCCCTGACATAAAGCTAGGAATCTGAATGCTTTTAAACAGGCTTCCCAAATAAGTCTTATACACTTCAAGGTAGATGAGAGCCACTCCCCAAATCCCCTAACTAAAATAAAACATAAGAACACTATTCAATGGCAGCAAATGGTCTTGTACAATGGACTTCTTAATGTCATTTAAAAAAAAAAATCACTTATACAAATGGTTTTTACTTTCGTGACTGAAGCCTGTCTTCATTATGCCCTATTCTTTGACTTAAATCTTGTCAGATCTAAACGTAAGGCAGAAAGATGTAGCCCACACTGGGTACCTTAGATGGTAGCCATCCTAAATCACCCTAAATTACATTTCAATAGTTCTATGTGGGTGGAGGGAAGTCCCATGAAGATTTCCATATAAATTATTAAAAAAAAAAACCTCTAGGAAAAAAATAAAACTTTTATAAGCCAGGTAGAGAACATTGGATATGACCTACTAAGGAAACACACTATCAGTAACAAGGCAGTTTACCTAAAGCCTTTCACTTCATGTAAAGAGAAAAGAGCAAGAACAGATAAAACAAAACAATATTCACAGGCAATTTTACCAAGTATAAAGTGTGTGTTAATACATCAGCCTCCACGGAATAGACTTGTTGATACACTGCTAAAATACGGTAGGACTCCAAAGATGTTTACCGTCATCTGTGATCATTTGATTATTCATGAAAGAACTGAAATTTTGATTCTATTATTTTTACCAGAAAGAGCTAATTTGGAACTATTTTAAAAAATGAAAAAACATTTTTTCCCAAAATGAGTACTTTTCATCGCAAGTCTGAAAACCTTTTATACATGAATAGGAAAATGCCCCGTATAACTATTAGAAGTAAACACGCTAAAAATGCTTGTGTGGGACGACTGGCCAGGAGTGGCAAGGCGACATGACCAAGCCAAGTTCATACCAAGTTGCAGTCTGAACTCCCAACCCACAAACTAAAGGCTGAGGGAAGTTAAGAGGTAAAAGATGTTCTTTTCAACCTGATTATAAATCTCTCCAGGACTACTTAAAGCCAGCAATGAGAATGCATCTTTTATTGGAAAAGATGATATAAAACCATCAACTTACTATAAAAATGGGCCAAAGAAAACTCATCAAGGATCCTCACTGAGAAAAACTTTATAAACACGCTCCAGAGGCATAATAAGTTACTAAAGACAAAAACAGTAAGGCTTCCCCAGAGTAATTAAACCGAATTATTTCTTTAAGATCCGAACAGAAATGGTGACTTAAACAGTAGCTAATCCTAAGATTTCCCAAAATCACACATCATATAATTATTTTAAAAATTCTAATACTTTAGTGTTAAAATAAGTTTTAAACACATAATCCTTTTCTCATTCTTTTTATGAGAATGCTTTAATGATGCTTTTAATGAGAACATCTATAAACATGTTTCTACAATGCATTAAAAGCCAAGAACCTCAACACTTGTAAGGTCTTTCGCTAGTAAGTAAGAACCTTCAGGAAGATGAGGGGCCACCTGGAAATGCACCAATATTTCAAAGAGAAGCTTTCAATGTAACAGTCAAAACTAAGCAACACTGATATGCAAGTAGACAGTTTTTAGAACAAGCTGGAACTTTCCTAAAATTTAATGGCAATTGAAAAAAAGAAGCAAGAACTTCAGGGCAAGATGGTATGTAAATATGGAAAAGTACAAAATGCTTGGAATTCAGGACTTATAACAATACTTCAGTAGTGAGGTGTTAAAATAGTAAAAAGAAACTTCCTTGATAGAGATTACATGCTAGACAAACCTTCTCTCTGCCTTCCATTCAGACTTCACGTATATAGAATCTACACTTGAGTTTTGCCTAAGCCTTCCTATCTTCCCCCAAAACAAAACAAAACAAAAAAAACCTTAAGAATTGAAGCTCTCAGACCTGAATGTTTATATAAATACTTGCAGGCAAGTTTTAGGAAGTTTTACAATGTACAATAATTCACCATTATAAATCAAAGGAAAAGGTAACTAATAGATAAAAGTGTTTTTTATCACACAATCAAGGTAAATAAAGATTTCTTGGCTACTTCTAGATACTGCCCATATTTGGGTGGGACTTTGGTCCTTACTAAGCCAAAGCTATTTTAAAGCTACCAGCCAGTCACGTAAAGTTAAATAAAGGAGATTCACTAAACAAAACTGACAATTTTAGCTTCATTATTAAAAATTAGTGCATAGCAAAAGACAAATGTTTTAGATAAAGACCTGATTTTACTGCTAGGCCACAAGAAACAGGACATCAATTAATGTTTGGTAATGTCTTTTCTCTAAAACTTAACAAAGTTCTGTTCTTACGCAGAACTCTTGAAAACAAGGCCTCTCAAATGGTAACTGTGAGTTATATATAATACGTATATCTATACAAACCGACAGTGAATCTGACCAAGGCACAAGTTCAAGTGACTTATCAGAGGTCACATAGTTCATTTAAACTCAAGCTTTTTTCTTAAAATATCAAGCTCACCCCTTTTATTATGAGCCACTCTGGCTTTTCAAGACATGTTTGCCTCTTTTCTAGAAAGAAGCTATAGGAATGAAGGCAAAAATAAAATAAAATAAAATAAGAGTATATCCCAACAAAACTGTCAGCCTGTCAGGTAAAAGACTGTAAATTTCAGCGTATGGTAGATTTCAATATGATACGATTTTTCCACACTATGTGGCAAACAGGATTCTCTAATATCATAAGACTTTAAAAGTGTAATGGCATCATTTTCAGCCTTTTTGTTCCGAAACTTCTGCAAGTTTTGTAAACTTTTTAAAAAGAGTAAGGTATAAAAAGAACTGACAGGTTTCACCCCAGAACAGTATCTTCCGTGAGGTTATCCTCAATCCCCTCCCTCTCATGTCCTCAAAAGCCTGGATTCAATCTTAAAAGGCACTAGGTGGCACATACAGGATTTAAAACCACATTTGCATTTTCTTTCGCTTTCTCCCCCATAAAGTGCACAAAGCAGAGAGTAATAAGGAAATAGACACAGGCTTGGATCTAGATCAGCAAGGAAAAGAAACGCTTCCAACAGAAATGGAAGTATGTTTAAGAATTGGAAGCCATGGGAAAGGTCTATCTGTTCATTTGTTACTGCCGAGTCTCAGCTTTTCCCGGATGATCCCAGATCTGCGCTCCTCTGGACTGGACCCGTGGCCGTGACAGAAACCCAGAAATCGGTGGGGGCTGGCTGCGTTCTCGTTGGCTCCTCTTATGAAGATGCTATTGAGCTTTTTTATCCGCAGGTGGCCTCCCAACAACCGCATCCCTCACGGCGGCCTGAGTAGAATTACCCATGTGGGAAGTAGCCTGCAAAAGTCCATTTATTCAAATGTGTAAGTTAATAAAACACAACACAGCATCGAGAGAGTACGACTGAGGAGATAAACTTTCAAAAATCTCGGTCTACATCACGGGTATGTTACAGAAAACAGGGAAATGAAAACGCAGGCGCTGGGTGAGCTAGAGGGCCCGCTGAGCCCCCTCCCTGTTACTGTAGTGGGGCGGGCAGCTCTCCCAGCTTCTCACAAGCTTCTGTCTTCACCCATCTGTTCATGCTACTCAGAAAAAGAAATCAATCAGTCTCGAGGGGTCTGTAAACCTGGAGATCACGTCAATGTCAAAAGCCACTGGCTTTTTAAAGATTTGAAGTAAAAAAGATGCCATTTGTTAGAAGTTAAAACAGAACATTTTCAAAGCTCTTGATTTTCAGGGAAGCAAATTAACCTCAGATGGGGGAGAATCACACAGGAACTGTGTCTGAAGAGCATGCGGTTAGAAGTTTCCCATGAGAAACACGGTTATGTCCAAGTTGAAACTTTGTTTGCATCAGAGGACAGTCTTTAGGCATGACAACAAAGTATTAGGAATAAATATTAATATCCTAAAGAAGGATGGTACAACATAACGTCTATCAAAAAAATAGATAAATAAAGAGCCAGGGGAAGCTTCTCATGCCTTCTTTCGCTATGAAACGCTTTTCAAATGGAAATACTTTGCAATAAAAGGACAAATGTCTGTCCCTTAACAACCCTTAGCCTCACCAGTTGGCACCACTTACCTGCTCTAACACGTAGGCTGCACCAGAATCGATGGCTCCGCCCAGCTCACGATATTGACCAGAATACCTGATGTACCCCCATGTGAGAAGCGCTATTAACAGCAGTCCAACCATACAGTTGAACAGCTGGGCCACCACCTCAAGACCGACAAAGCCAGTGAGGCCTGAGGCTATGTACAAAGCCACGATGCCTGTGAAAATCACTGCAGGGGTTCGGAAGGTGCTGAAGACATTCTTGCTGCCATTGTGTTTGCAGAAATTCTCATAGAGTTCCTTGATTTCCTCTTCCAGCTCCTGCTGGTAACGGAGACTAAAATCCTTCCCACCCATCTTCTTGGTCTTCTTAAAATGGTCCAGAGCAAGTTGTTTGAGTTCACAGTGCTTCTCCTCTAGAATGTCTGGAGACAAATAAGGTTTCTCTCCTCCACAAACCTAAAAAGAATAAAGACATAATGTGTTGAAGATCCCTTCGAAAACAGATGCCTAACAAAACAAGTGAAGACACTGCAAAAGAATATTTTAAGAGATTAGGAAAGAACTTCAAAATGATGACCAAGACCAATAAAGTCTGGTTTTGCCTCCTCTGAAAAGTGCACTTAAATTACCAGGCTGACACGGATCAGTGACAGCAATGACACTGTAAGAGAGCCTTGGTTAGACATGGTAATGACTGGAAGACCCCAATTACCCAGGGGACCTTAACACAGCCTGGCTGCCTCATCACATTAAGACACAGTAAACAAGGTGATGTTTGGGTCTCCAAAGTTGGCAACAGGCCCAGGTGATGGATCTTCCAGAATAAGACACATGCCCAACATACCTCCTCCATGCTGTTGTAATAGATGTCTTTGGCAGAGGCTGCAGCTGCTAAATTGTTGGCTTCAGCAGTGGCCTTTGAAGGAAGGAAAGCATAGACCATGAATCCTCCTCTTTTAACAGTCTTCCACAATCTCCTCTCACCCTATCTCCATTCTCCCTTTCTTATGATCCTTCTGCTATTTTTTAGGTTTCTATACAGCCCAATTTATAAAATGAAATCCAACTTTCTTCCAAATTTTCTGCTCAAAAAAGTGCTTATATATTAAGAGTCTTATTGTAAATTAAACCTCTGAAAATATCATTCCCTGTGCTTCTATTTTAAATGTTAAGAAATAGATGTTAAGTCAAAAAAGAAGGGTAAAATTTATCTTTACATGATCCCAAGCTCTAGCTTCCTTTGTGAAAATGTTTTGCTACCAAATAAATAAATAAACCTTTGTTGGTGCCTGGGTAGCTCAGTCAATTGACTTCGACTCAGGTGATGATCGTGCACTTTGTGAGTTCAAGCCCCACATCAGGCTCTCTGCTGTCAGCCCAGAGCCTCTATAACCGCCCTGGTCCCTCCCCCATGCACACACGCCTGTGCGGGCAACTCTCTCTCTCTCTCTCAGAAATAAATATTAAAAAAAGAAAGAAAGAAAGAAAGAAACATTTGGTAATAAATTACCTTATGTTCTGCACATGAAAGTCAGAAATGATATGTTTTAATGAAAAAACATCTTAAAAAACCGAAATATTGAAAATAATGGTCGCTGAAAACAAAAAATCTGACTAAATAAGTATGTCAGGATTTAACAGACCGCAGAAAACAGAAAAGTAATTGGTCTAAGATGAGCAGGCCTGGGGGCACCTGGGTGGCTCAGTTGGTTGGGCAGCCAGCTTCGGCTCAGGTCATGATCTCATGGTTCGTGGGTTCGAGCCCCATGTCAGGCTCTGTGCTGACAGCTAGCTCAGAGCCTGGAGCCTGTTTCAGATTCTGTGTCTCCTTCTCTTTCTGACCCTCCCCTTCTCTGCTGTCTCTCTGTCTCAGAAATAAATAAAACGCTAAAAAATTTAAAAAAAAAAGATGAGCGGGCCTGTTCTACCGGGTGCAGTAAAACAGAGCTCTCCGTGGTGCATCTGGTGGGAAACCCAGGCCCCGTTCTGCTTTCACTGTACCGCCATGAACATGCACAAAAAACCCAGAAGGCAGTCACAATGCTAAAAAATATGCTCAAAAATCACACACCTCAGCATAATATGCAAAGAGAGAGACAGTGTTCTCTTCTTAGAGGGTGCAGTTTCTCATCTATGGGTCACCAGTAACTAGACAGAACCATTTAAGATGTCAAAGAAGTGCTCACCTGAAGCATGGATTTAGGATGAGGCAGATCTTCTCCTTGGTAAATTTTAATATACGCCTTAGGATATAAACATAAAAACAACTGTGAAAACTTTCATTCTGTCACATTCAATCATTCTTTAAGTTTTTAAAAGCCGCCATACAACTGCATTTTCCTAAAGACCTAGATCAACACCCAGGAATTAGCAAAAACACAACACACCTTTCAGTGCATGTTAGCATATTTTTAGTTAACTGAGAATGTTCTCAAGCAGCAGGGGCCTACCAAGGCTAGGATCCCCACCAGATCCCCACGCACACTGGCCTCACCACTGCCTGTGGGCACAGTGACCATCCGCCTTGAGGTAGTCGTGTCACATCTAGGTGCCGTCTCCTCCTACTCACAGCAACTTCCTAACCACCTCCTGTCCACCATCTTCCTTGAGGAACAATCTTCCTTTAGCCACAGTAATTACTCCTCTAAGAAAGTGCAAAGAACATCCATTTGGTTCTTAGACCGATACTGCCACCCAGTGGCCCACTCCTGGAAGGACACCGAAGGTTCTGAAAAGGCCTCTCCCCATCTCCCCCAAGAAACGTTCCCCTAAGCTTTAAAATCGTGAAATTCAAGTTAGTTTACAGCCTAGATCAGTTTTACCAAAAGTCAAATATTTTGATAATTAAAACCCATATTTACCTTAAAATACTCCAAGAGCCCCCGACAGGTGACTTTTGAGCCATTGATCTCCTTTTCCATTAAGTTAGCTGGGTTTAATACAAATGGTACGAGGGTCTGCAACTGCTCTTTGAACTCACTGGCAATATCTATTCAGGAGACCATGAAGAAGAAAACAATAAGCAAAGCAGATTCACTCAACCAAGCAGAGCATAAAATGTGACCTTCATAGTCTATTTTAACATCTGCTGGTTGAAAGTGAAGGGAGGGGGTTCTCACTGTGTCTGACACTTTGCTTATGACCGGATTGCAGATGGACCTCTGTCTACAGGTACTTTTACTGTCTCTTTGGGGGGGGGGGGGGGGAGCGGGGGAAGAGCAGAGACAGAGGGAGAGAGGGGAATCCCAAGCAGGCACTGAACTCTACGATGAGCCCAAACCGGGGCTCGATCTCACAGACCTGAGCTAAAATCAAAGAGTCGGACACTTAACCACCTGAGCCACCCAGGCGCCCAGGAGAGGATTTTCTAAAATAAGACTTTAAAAGCACTTCATAAAATCAAAGGTGAATGAATCCAACCACATTTAAAACTAAGGCACCATAGGGGCGCCTGGTTGGCTTAGTCGGTTAAGCGTCCGACTTTCGCTTAGGTCATGATCTCGCGGTTCGCGGGTTCGAGCCCCGCGTCGGGCTCTGTGCTGACTGCCAGCTCAGAGCCTGGAGCCTGTTTCGGAGTCTGTGACTCCCTCTCTCTCTGACCCTCCCCTGCTCACGCTGTCTCTCTCTCTCCTAGAAATAAATAAAATATTTTAAAAAATAAATAAATAAATAAATAAAACTAAGGCACCATAAAAAAAAAATAATGATAAAAAAAGACAAGACACAAGATGGAAGAATATATTGGCAACACATAATCAGCAAAGCTTCATATCTTAAAATACACATACAGGATCTACACATTGCAGACAAAGACAAACCCCATCTAGAACTGAACAACAGGCCTAAGGAGGAATTGCAGAGGAAAGAAACATGGAAGAAACATGAATGTAAACAAATACATGAAAAGATATTCAATCCCATTAGCAACCAAAAAAACGCAATTTAAGACCATAATGACATTCTATGTCACAAATTTGGCAAAACTAGAAGTCTGAAAATACCAAACATTGCCAAGGATATGGGTCAATGGGAACTTCTTCATACGCTGATGAAGGGAGCAGAAATTGGAACTGTCGCTTTGGAAAACAACATTATCCAGTTGAAGGGAAAATACACAAATTCCGACATCCAATAAACTTGCTTCCAAAGCACATAGCTTTAGGAAACTCCCATTCATCCATATTTACCAGACTGTCCATGGCAGCACTGTTCATAATAGCAAGAAACTGGAAAAGCTCACATTTTTATTGAGAATAAACTGTGTTATATTCACAGAAGGCACAATTATACACAATGACCCATGACTACATGCAGTCATGTACAGATAATCTCAGAATAATACAGATAATCTCAGAAATAAAACTCATTGAAATGCAAGTTGGCCACGTACTATTTTTAATAAGTCAAAATTAAAGAAACTTAGCAACAGACTAAGTGATTCAAACACAAGCATTTTTTTTAATTTATTTTAATTCAAGGGTAGAATAAGCAAAATTTAGAATAGTGTTATTTCTGTGTGGGGAGGCAGGGAGCTGGGCCAGGGAAGAAGCACACAAATACAGAAAATAGCACTGGTAATGTTCTAGACAAGGGCAAACTATAGCCCTTGCGGCCAAATACGGGCTGCAAACTATAATCGTAAATAAAGTTTTATTGAAACACAACCATGTCTTCATTTATGCATTGTCTGTGGCTGCTTTCTTGCTATAACAGCGAAGCTGAATAATTGAATGGCCCACAAAACCTACAATATTTACTATCTGGTCCAATACAGAAAAAACCTGCCAATTCTGGTTCTAGATATTAAGTTGGGTAGTAGGTTCATGATGTTCATTATATGATGTATTAAGCCTTACATATATATGTTCTATGTATTCTTTTATATACATATAATACTGCTACATTCTTTAGGATACCTCACAGTACACTTAAAAATTTAATGTGGCACATTATTTTAATTTCGTTTCATTCCCGTTATTGGTAGTTAGGCCAAACTTTCTTCCATATTTCCTTTTCCCCTCCTAGGAGCCAGTATCTTGGAATACAGTCACTCTTCACAAACTAAACAAATATGCTATTCTTACATGTACTAAATTCTCCAGTCTGTTTGCCTTTTTTCAATACACATGAAATGATTAGGTATTCAAACCTACACCATTTTTCTTTGGCAATTTCTTTCATTCCTCCTAATTTTAAAGACCCCTTCCCCAATGGCACAAAAACAGACAGATCAATGGAACAGAATAAAGAACCCAGAAATGGACCAATGTATGGCCAACTAATCTTTGACAAAGCAGGAAAGAATATCCAATGGAAAAAAGACAGTCTCTTTAGCAAACGGTGCTGGGAAAACTGGATAGCGACATGCAGAAGAATGAACCCAGACCACTTTCTTACACCATACACAAAAATAAACTCAAAATGGAAGAAAGACGTAAATGTAAGACAGGAAGCCTTCAAAATCCTAGAGGAGAAAGCAGGCAAAAACCTCTTTGACCTCAGCTGCAGCAACTTCTTACTCAACATGTCTCCAGAGGCAAGGGAAAGAAAAGCAAAAATGAACTATTGGGACTTCATCAAGATAAAAACCTTCTGCAGAGCAAAGCAAACAATCAACAAAACTAAAAGGCAAACACTGGAATGGGAGAAGATATTTGCAAATGACATATCAGATAAAGGGTTAGTCTCTAAAATCTATAAAGAACTTATCAAACAAAAAACAAATAATCCAATGAAGAAATGGGCAAAAGACATGAATAGACACTTCATCCAGATGGCAAACAGACACATGAAAAAATGTTCAACATCACTCATCATCTGGGAAATACAAATCAAAACCACAATGAGATACCACCTCACACCTGTCAGAACGGCTAACATTAACAACTCAGGCAACAACAGATGTTGGCCAGGATGCAGAGAAAGTGGATCTCTTCTGTGCTGCTGGTGGGAATAGAAACTGGTGCAGCCACTCTGGAAAACAGTATGGAGGTTCCTCAATAAATTAAAAATGGAACTACCCTACAACCCAGCAATTGCACTACTAGGTATTTACCGAAGGGATATAGGAGGTGTGCTGTTTCAAAGGGGGACATGCACCCCAATGTTTATAGCAGTGCTATCGACAATAGCCAAAGCATGGAAAGAGCCCAAATGTCCATCGACGGATGAATGGATAAAGAAGATGTGGTATATAAACACAATGGAGTATTACTCAGCAAACAAAAAGAATGAAATCTTACCATTTACAACTATATGGATGAAACTGGAGGGTATTACGCTAAGCGAATTTAATCAGTCAGAGAAAGACAAATATCAAAGGACTTCATTCATATGAGGAATTGAAGATACTAACCACATGAACACAAGGGACAGGAAGCAAAAAGAATATAAAAGCAGGGAAGGGGACAAAACATAAGAAACTCTTAAAATATAAAGAACAAACAATGGGTTGCTGGAGGGGTTTGAACTAAATGGGTAAAGGGCATTAAGAAATCTACTCCTGGGGCGCCTGGGTGGCTTAGTCGGTTAAGCGTCCGACTTTCGCTTAGGTCATGATCTCGCGATTCGTGGGTTCGAGCCCCGCGTCGGGCTCTGTGCTGACTGCCAGCTCAGAGCCTGGAGCCTGTTTCAGTCTGTGACTCCCTCTCTCTCTGACCCTCCCCTGCTCACGCTGTCTCTCTCTCTCTCCTAGAAATAAATAAAAAACATTTAAAAAAAAAAAAAAGAAATCTACTCCTGATATCACTGTTGTACTATATGCTAACTAACTTGGATGTAAATTAAACAATAAATAAATTTTTTAAAAAAAGAGTACTTCCCCAAGTCCAGAGGTCTAATAAAATTAAAATTTTTCCATGCTTTAATTTTTATAATTTAATTTTGCAATCTATCTAGAATTTATTCATGCCTCTTAAATCAAAAGCTACATGGCCTTTCTCTGTAAACAGTAACAGGTACTTCTTATTTCCATCAATTCACATCCCATCTTTTTTTTTTTTAATTTTTTTTTTGTTTTATTTATTTTTGAGACATAGCATGAGTGGAGGAGGGGCAGAGAGAGAGAGAGGGAGACACAGAATCTCAAAGAGGCTCCAGGCTCTGAGCTGCCAGCACAGAACCTAATGCGGGGCTCGAACCCATAAACCGTGTGATCATGACCTGAGCCGAAGACAGACGCTTAACCGACTGAGCCACCCAGGCACCCCATATCCCACCCTAAATAACTGATCAATTATAAAATCTCGACATTGAAAAATTTTTTAGGTTTATAAATCTGTCCTACTAAAAAGTAAATTGGTACCAATCTCCCATCCAAATACTCTTCATTCTATATTCTCCTCAGGATGGCGCCAAAGTATGACCTATGCAGAAGTTAGAAAGGGATCAATCCCCATATTATACATTGATTAGTGGCTTAATATATGATAAAGGTGACATTTCAACTGGTGGAGGAAACTGGACTAGTCAATAAATACTATTAGAACAAATGAGCAGCCATTCAGAAAATAAGATGAATCTAAACTGGATCATAGGTTATAACATCAAAGATGAAACTGCAAAATTTCAAGAAAAAAATGGGACAAAATCCTTTACGACGTGAAGTGAAAAAAGCATAAAATTGTGTGTATACTATACTATTCTGTGTATATGGTATTCATATCTGCTTGCATACTCCAAAGAAAACTCTGGAAACCTATAAAAATGGAAGAGAGACTTCACTGAATTCTAATCCTTTTTGGGATTTTAAACATGTGAATGTATCACGTGTTTCAAAAAAAACCCTTTTTTTTTTTTTTTTACAGTTTCAACTTTTAACCTATTGAAAGACTAAGAGCTTCAAAAGTATTTCACTCAAGGAACTGGCACAATCTAGTTGCCATAGACTGTTCTTAAACTCGGGTTTACCCAGATTTAAAGACCCTCAAGCATTAATGCTTCTCTGAAGGTTGTACCAAAATACTAATTTAGACTCCGAATAGACCACAATGCTCTCCTGATACTCTCAAAATCTCATGCTGTCAAAAAAAGACCGTGCCCTACAAACTCTTTGGTTTAATTTCTAGCTAAACAACTCAGTGGTGGGGCACCTGGGTGGCTCAGTCCTCGATTTTGGCTCAGGTCATGATCCCAAAGTCATAGGATCAAGCCCCTAGTCGGGCTCCATGCTGAGCATGCAGCCTGCTTAAGATTCTCATTCTCTCTCTCTCTCTGCCCCTGTAACCTGCTCTTGCTCTCTCTCTAAAACAGACTTAAAAAACACACACACCTCTGTGGTCACTGCATTAAGTCTCTCTGCCCTAGAAAATACAAAGATGACAGTTTTCTTTATGGTGATGACACAGCCATCTGTGTCTGATGAAAGGGATCTCAAAAGTGAGCTAATCTTAGCTCACAGGAAGCAGCAGTTAAGCAGCAATTACAACAAAACTAAGATTGTGTCTGCCAAGTGTTCACCTCTGAATAAAAGGTCATTCTTAAAAAAAATAAAATAAAACAGGGGCACCTGGGTGGCTCTGTCAGTTAAGCAAACAACTTCCACTCAGGTCATGATCTCACAGTTCATGAGTTCAAGCCCTGCATCGGGCTCTGTTCTGACAGCTCAGAGCCTGGAGCCTGCTTCGGATTCTGTGTTTCCCTCTATCTCTGCCCCTTCCCCACTTACGCTCTCTCTCTCTCTCTCAAAAAGGATTAAACATTAAAAATAAATAAAAATAAAACCATTAAAATACTTAAGTATTTAGGGGAACATATGCAGAAAAACCTTCAGAATGTAGCTCTTATTAAATTTAAATGTTCTACAGTAATTACATTAAGATCCTTTCTAGGGGCGCCTGGGTGGCTGGATCAGTTAAGCTTCTGACTTCAGCTCAGGTTATGATCTCATGGTTTGTGAGTTCGAGCCTCATGTTGGGCTCTGTGCTGACGGCTCAGGGCCTGGAGCCTGCTTTAGTTTTTGTCTCCCTCTCTCTGTCCTTCCCATGCTCACACACTCTCTCTCTCTCTCTCAAAAATAAAAAACAAACATTAAAAAAAATTGGGGCGCCTGGGTGGCTTAGTCGGTTAAGCGTCTGACTTTCGCTTAGGTCATGATCTCGCGGTTCGTGGGTTCGGGCCCCACGTCGGGCTCTGTGCTGACTGCCAGCTCAGAGCCTGGAGCCTATTTCAGAGTCTGTATCTCCCTCTCTCTCTGACCCTCCCCTGCTCACACTGTCTCTCTCTCTCTCTCCTAGAAATAAATAAAAATATTTAAAAAAAAATTTTTTTTTAGTCTTCCTATGAATAGTCCTAACTGCTCCCAAGTTAATGTCTTTTCCAGGTTATATGGAATGGGGCTGCGGGATCTCAAGCAAGTCACTGTATAAGAATATACTTAAGAAAAGACAGCATCTAGGCATTTTCTTTAACTCTGAAAAGTATACCAGCTCTACTTACAGGTCCCCCATAGTAAAGTTTATGTGGTTCTCAATCAAGCACTTGCCAAATACTTCAAGTCACCAACTTAGCATCCAAGTTATACTTCACTCAAAACCCTTCAATACCTTGTTTAAAAGATTCCCTAAAATTACAAAATTTCTGTCTCCAAAGCTACGAAATACACAGACCTTTGCAGAGCTAATAAGAATTTTTTTTTGAACAATCCTAATGACTATAGTTCCTGAAATAGACACACAAGGGTGGACTATAAACATATTGTTAAAGTAAAGCAAAAAAGGAATTTTTTTATTTTTCAAATCTTTTCTTAAAAACATAATTATGAATATATATTTTGAAATAAATAGTATCATACACATATGCTACTGTGCAATCTTTTTACATTTAATAATATATCACAGACATCTATGTAAATACGTATAGATCCATCCATCTACCTTAACCTTTTAAAGAACTTTAAGTAACTTCTTAAAAGCTTTTAGAAGTGCAGATGTACTGGGGTGTCTGGGTGGCTCAGTCAGTTAAGAGTTCATCCTGTGCTTGATCTTGGTTCAGGTCATGATCTCACAGTTCATGGGATCAAGCCCTGCATCAGGCTCTGCACTATCAGCCCAATGTTTGGGATTATCTCTCTCCCTCCCTCTAGCTGCCCCTCCTGTGCTCACCCTCTAACTCTCAAAATAAATTAAAATAGTTTTAAAAGTGCAGATGTACTATAATTTCACCAACTCCTCAAAAACACCCATTTGTTTCCAATTATTCCCTATGATATAACGCTACAGTAGTATATATCCTTGTCCATACTTTTTAAAAATTCTTGTTTAATGTTTTATTTATTTTTTGAGAGAGAGAGATAGCATGAGCAGGGGAGGATCAGAGAGAGGGAGATACATACAGAATCCAAAGATAGGCACCAGGCTCTAAGCTAGCTGTCAGCACAGAGCCCTACACGGGGCTCAAACTCACAAGCTGTGAGATCATGACCTGAGCCAAAGCTGGAAACTTAACTGACTGAGCCACCCAGGCGTCCCCAAATGTGGCTTTCTGAATTGCCATCTAATAGGCTCTGAAGTCTCCTGTGCAGGAAAGCTGCCGACCACATAAAGATATCAGACAGGGACAAACAGAAGACAATGCCTCTCATACTCAGTTTCTTTTGCAATATTAAGACTAGCTGGAACGTAAATCTTAAGTTCAACAAGTATATTAATGTTCCTGGATCAAATAAGTCCAAAAAATTGAAAATGATGCATTTTGTGTTTAACATGCGGCTATGAAAAACTTCCACTGCCAAAGTTCTCCAGTTAACGAAACATTATATACCCTCTAAATTATTTCCCTGGGGCACCTGGGTGGCTCAGCTGGTTACGCATCAGACTCCTGGTTTTGGCTCAGGTCACGATCTCAGGGTTCATAAGATGGAGCCCCGTGTAGGGCTCTGCACTGACTCTCTCTGCCCCTCTCTCTCCGCCCCTCCCCCGCTCACACTGTCTCTCTCTCTCAACATTAAAAAATTTTTTAATAAAAATAAATAATTTTTGGGGTGCCTGGGTGGCTCAGTCGGTTAAGCATCTGATTTCGGATCAGGTCACGATCTCATGATTAGTGGGTTTGAGCCCCGCGTCGGGCTCTGTGCTGACAGCCAGCTCAGAGCCTGGAGCCTGTTTCAGATTCTGTCTCTCTCTCTCTCTCTGACCCTCCCCTGCTCATGCTGTCTCTCTCTCTCTCAGAAATACATAAAACATTAAAAAATTTTTTTAAAAATCAATAATTTTCCCAAAATAAGAGAAGAACTTCTATTTTAGCACAATATGACTCTGAGGCAAAAAGATTCTAGATGTGAATCTCTACCCAACCACTTATTAGCTGAGTACTTTGAGCAAATTACTTAACTTTCCTAAGCCTGTTTCTTCATCCATAAATAATGGAGATACTATCTGCATATGGAACCTCTGGGAGCATTAAGTGTGAAGCAACCACCAGCGCTGGTGCTATGGTCTGAAGGTCTGTGTCCCCCTCAGATTTGGCATGTTGAAATTCCAATCTCTAAAGATGGTGGTATTAGCAGGTGGGGCCTTTGGGAGGAGATCAGGTCCCAAGGGTGTTTATTCACAAGGGAGCCCCTGTGAACAGGACTCGGGTGCTTATACAGAGACCCCACAGGGCTCACTACCCCTCCCACCACCTGAAGGAACAACCAGAAGCCTGACAGCAGGAAGACTGCCCTCACCTGCCTGTGCGGGCATTCTGACCTTGGACTTCCACCCTCCAGAGCCATGAGAAATACATTTGTTTTGTTTATAAGCCACCCAGTGTATGGCATTTTGGTAGAGCTGCCCAAACAGACTGACGGTGGGGAGCATGGCTGAGCCTCTAAAACTGGCAGCTGTCTTTATTCCTACTTTACTGGGAACCTGAGAAGTTCAGATATGTTTATAAACAAGAGTGCTAATTTATCACCTGTATAAACAGAGGGCTAGTCATTAAATGACTCAAAGTCTTAAATGAATAAGGAACAAAAATAAGATAATGGAATCCAAGAGTCCTGACTCCAATTTCTCCAAGCTGCCATCTAGTCAACTTCCTGACAGTCATACATGACCCAGCTTCATGTTTTGGCGTAATCATAAAGACGAAAATGAATCGCCGTGCCATGCATCACATTACCATCCTTTGGGAACTGAATTTTACTTGATAAGTATTAGCCGACCTAATGTTTAGTCTTCCTTTATTTTAGCACTGTTATCTTTTTTTTTTTTAATTTTTAATGTTTTATTTATTTCTGAGAGAAATAAACAGACAGACAGCATGAGCAGGGGAGGGTCAGAGAGAGAGATACAGAATCTGAAACAGGCTCCAGGCTCCGAGCTGGCTGTCAGCACAGAGGCTGACGTGGGGCTCAAACCCACTAACCGTGAGATCATGACCTGAGCCGAAGTCAGAAGCTTAACCGACTAAGCCACCCAGGCGCCCCTAGCACTGTTATCTCTTGTAAACCAGTAATTACAACACATCTCTTAGAAAGACATTAATGAATATTACCACCACCATTTCAGATGGAAAATTTAAGGTGCACTTTGACGGTCACAGTATGGCAGATGCAAAAACTAGTCTCTAGCCACCATTCTCTCTGAGAGAACACACTATTCCTTGTAAGCATTCCCTGGACTCACAACTGACATTTTCTGGCCACTGGTTCTTCCAAAGCTTGAAGCACATGTCTAGAATAACATGACTGGTGACACACCTTTCAATTTCCCATCAAAGTCAGGGCTTGTGGCCACCTGGAGCCCTGGGTGCGGCAGGAGAAAGCAGGTGACGTTGGAGAAGCATGAGTGAATGTGATTTCGGACATTCTGAATTTCTTCATGCTGATGCTCTTTCACCTGTCAATGAAGACCGACAATTTACAAAAGACCGTTTGTGTTTCTACACTAGGAACCACTGGTACAGGGCAAAGGAGAGATGATATCCCAACTCTGATGCATCATAGCAGCCTATGTTTTGTCCAATGAGGAAACTCAGAACGCTAGAAGCACTAAATGCATACATCTGATTAGCCATGGCATGACTCCTAAAGCTACCCAAGAACAGGTACTAAAGACTTTCTTAGAAAAAAAGTATTGTTGGGGTGCCTGCGTGGCTCGGTCGGTTGAGCGTCCAACTTCGGCTCAGGTCATGATCTCACAGTTCGTGGGTTCAAGCCCCGTGTCAGGCTCTTGTGCTGACAGCTCAGAGCCTGGAGCCTGCTTCGGATTCTGTGTCTCCCCCTCTCTCTGCGCCTGTCAGACAGCCCATGCTCTGTCTCTGTTTCTCAATAATAAATAAATGTTACAAATAATTACAAAAAAGAGTATTGTACAATACTGAGGAAGAACAAGGGAAGGGTTGGCTTGCGGGCAGGAGGAAGATCTAACCAGCTAGTAGCGCCTGACAGAGAACTCTTGTATTTTAATTTTGGAGAACAGGCTAAGCCGGTTTATATCCACCCCAAAACAAGCAAGAATTGTGAATAAGAACAACAGAACAAGAGTTCTGAATATGACATTCTAAATGCACACGGAAAGCCTGGTGTAAAACGTGAAATGGAAATTACAATCAAAGCCTGGGCTTTTGCCGGAGTCCCTCTCTGCAATCTCTATGCATTATGTACCCAGGCTCTGTGCTCTTACACAAATACTATTAGTGTGCCGATATTTGAAAGTATTTAACACACTGAAAAGTTCTATAAATCTGCTTTAAATACAATAGTGAAAGGCAAATGAGAAAGTTATCAAGACGTGTAGGTAATTCCTCAGAAGATTTCAGTTCTACTTACCTGTAGACGCTTATCCAAAAAGGACATTCCTCCCTGTAGTCCATAGTTGTATTCATAAGGGAAACTCCAGTCTCGAACCAAAAACATCAGTGTCTATTTAGGAAAAGGGCAGAGCATATCACAAGGCTGCATAAATGCATAGCAATTGAAATACTTTTTTGTATAATACCAGCTGCTTCAATGGGGGCAAGAAAATATGAAGGATTTATGTCTTCTGTAAAGTCTTAGAAACCTTAAAAATACTAGAAGGACACGCAGAAGCCAAATGTGAGGGGAGCCCGGGTGGCTCAGTTGGTTGGGCATCCGACTCTTGATTTCAGCTCAGGTCACGATCTCACGGTTCATGAAATCGAGCCCCATGTCAGGCTCTGTGCTGACAGTGTGAGGCCTGCTTGGAATTCTTGCTCTCAAAATAAATAAACATTTTAAAAAATATATTTAAAAAAACAAAATAAACGTGAGGTCACTATATCTGTTTTTGTTCTCATGGTTTAGTAAGAGCAGAAGAAGAAATTGATGAGAAGACGTCAAATCTAGGGCCGTGCTACAAAGACAAGTATAAAGAACGTGGTAAAGGACAAGAAAACACGGTAGCAGCTAATCATAGAATCAGATCTACTTTTAATGTTAGAAAGGAAAACTGAACATTAAAAAAATTTTTTTTAAACACAAACAGGGCGCCTGGGTGGCTCAGTCAATTAAATGTCCAACTTCAGCTCAGGTCACGATCTCAGAGCTTGTGAATTCGAGCCCCACATCGGGCCCTGTGCTGACAGCTCAGAGCCTGGAGCCTGCTTTGGATTCTGGGTCTCCCTCTCTCTCTGCCCCTCCCCTGCTTGTAGTCTGCCTCGGTCTCTCTCAAAAATAAACATTAAAAAAAAAATTTTTTTTAAAGAAAGGAAAGCTAAATTAAGAATAATACTTAAAACCCCTCTAATCTCACTAAGGTTACTATGCATTCTCATCCTCATGAAACGATTAACTAAAGCCGGGGCCAGAAAACCTTTTCATATAAGATCTGGGAGTAAGTATTTTAGACTGCTATAATAACCAGCAGCTGTGGACAAGTGACTGTAATTGTGTTCCAATAAAACTTTATCTGAAACTTAAATGTCAGTGTCCACAGCTAAGGTACAGGTCATGAAATATTATTCCTCTTTTGATTTCAATCATTTAATAACAAAAGAACCATTCCTAACTGACAGGTCATACAAAAACAGGCAGCTAGCCTGATCTGGCCTGTGGCCTGCAGTGGGCTGATCTCTGAACTGAAACACAGACAAGTTACATTACAGTTAACATTCTACCTGGAAGGGTTTTTGGAAAATTTCATCCATTGCCAGACGACCATATTCCGTGAAGAGCTTTAAAAAAGAAAAGTCAATGGTTTATTAGGCAAAATTATTTTAAAGTATTTCTATGGTTATTCTTTAGCAAAGAATTCATTTAACAGACTCAGTGAATACTATTTATATAAGACCAAAGTTCTACAGCTTCAAAAGCTCAGAGAGCCACGAATCTTCCAACAATCTGTTATCCCTGTCTCACATCCTGTATCCCAATTCATCAGCAAAGCCAGAATCCGACCGCTCACAGCTTCTGTGTGGCTTGGAATATCACACAGCTTCCTTACCGGCCTCCCTGCCTCACCCTTCTCCGCCCCCCAGACCTACTCTGAATACAGCAGCCACGGTGGGTCTGCTCTGGGAAGGTTAGGTAGATCGCATCATGCCTCTGCTTAAAACCCTCCAACCTGGGGCACCTGGGTGGCTTGGTCGGTTGAGCGTCCGACTTTCGCTTGGGTCATGATCTCGCGGTTCATGGGTTCGAGCCCCGCGTCGGGCTCTGTGCTGACTGCTGGCTCGGAGCCTGGAGCCTGTTTCGGTCTGTGACTCCCTCTCTCTCTGACCCTCCCTTGCTCACGGTGTCTCTCTCTCTCTCTCTCTCTCTTAGAAATAAATAAAAAATATTTAAAAAAAAAAAAAAAACAAAAAACCCTCCAACCTAATCGTGTAAAAGCCAGCCCCTAACAGTGAGATCTGGCTACGCTGGCCCTCCTTGCTCTTCCTCAACCACACTGGGCACACACTGCCTCAGGGCCTTTGTTCTGACTCCCTCTGCCTGTAATGTTCTCCCCCCAAATAACTACACAATCAGCTCCCTCACTTTTTATAGTTTTACTCAAATGGCTCCTTCCCAAAGAAGCCTTGCAGACCATCTATCTAAGAGGATTACAAGTTTCCCCACAATTCTTCCTACCCCGTCTTTTTAATAGTCTTCCTTAACCCATCTCACTATGTGACACACTACACCTTTACTTATTTTGATAGTGCCTGCCTTCACTATTAGCGTATACACTCCAGGAGGGCAGGAATGTTTGCCTGTTCCGTGCACGGTCCCTCTGGCAGTGGGAGGACAGTGGGGCCAGGAGCATATATGCCGGGCAAACGACCAAATGAACAAGTTCTCTACGGTCAGGGTTTACACGTCCGTTCATCTCTATGTCCTTATGAAGGTCTGCACTAAAAGTGCAAGCAAAATGGGGGCACCTGGGTGGCTCAGTCCGTTAAGCCTCCAACTCCTGACTTCACCTCTGGTCATCATCTCATAATTGAGACTAAGCCCCACGTCTGCACTGACAATGCAGAGCCTGCTTGGGATTTCTCTCTCCCTTTCTCTCTGCCCCTCCCCTGCTCACATTCTCTCTCTCTCTCAAAACAAATAAACTTAAAAAAAAAAAGTATAACAAAATGAAGTTTAGAAGTTATAAACCCACACGACAAAGAAGATGAGAAATGATATGGGAGCAAAAAAGAGTTATCAAAAATACTCTGGAACGAAAATCGGCAAATGAAAACGATCTCAAGTGTTGGCTTTCTCTGCCTTAAGTTGTTTGTGACAGACAGGAGCCAACAAGAAATAAGCGCATTTTCTGAGCAGAATCCCTGAAAGGCTCGGAAGTGAGCAGCACCGGTCACCAAGAAGGAGGGGCAGGGAATGGGACTAACAACTAAACAAACAGTTGAAAGTCTTTGGAGAGAACACCTCTTGGAGCGCCTATACTCACAGATCCCGCTTCCTCCCGGCGCACCAAATCCTCTTCCTGCCCACGGAAGATGGGAAGTATACTGTCTGGAGGGGATAAACTAGAAAGAATTTAGACTTTGATACCAACTCAGCCAAGAGGAGTAAGTCCCCTACCTTACCGGAAACAGGCACTTGAGTCAAGATCTACGTACTGAACAGTGAAGACTCCTTAGCCTCTCACCCTGCTGGGGCCTCAGTAAGCTTCTACCCCCTCAGGCAGGGGTTTAAAGGCCTCTCTGGGGAAACTGATAGGCCAAGAACAGTCCGCAAATACAGACATTCAGGGCTTGCGACAAAATATCCAAGTAATCTTGCTCAGTCACCTCACTGTGATCCAGACCAGTGCACGAGGCTCACCCTCTTACCAAAGGTCCCGGTCAGATTTTTAATAACTCATCTTAAATGCACCAGCCCTTTGAGACAAGCTTCTAGAAGGAAAGACAAAAACTGGTGTCCTTTAATTCTAGAACATCATCTTACAGTATTCCTTTTATAATTTCTTTCCCTCCAGTTTCTCCGTTATCTTTTATTAAAATGCCTGTCATTATTAACAGGTGCCACGTCTCCTGAACTGATGCTCAATGTTTCCTTTGTTGCGGTGCCCTCCTGTCCTCCCTCTCCTCCACCTCTCCCTCTCCTCTCTTCTTCCCTCTTTTCCCTCCTCTCCCCTCCCCTCCCCCACCTTAACCCCCCACGCTTCTCTCTCTGCTTCACTTCCTCCCTCTGGTCTGATTTCCGCTCTGTTCTTTCATTCAACCTGCCAGCGAGATCTGGCGTCTAACTTCTTCTCTACAAAACTTTCCATTTTTGCTGTCATAGCTTTAATTTCCAGGAGCTTTGGTTTTCTGAATGTTGCTTCTTAACAGCATCCAGTTTTTTTCTTGGTTGCAACAGCTGCAACATTTTATCTTTCTGAGGATATGTATTTAAAAGAATGAAGAAAAAGCCCACACTAAGGTACATTACCATGAAAATTCATGCCAAGAATAAGAAGATCTTAAAAGCTTCAGAGAGAGAAAGGTCACATACAAAGGATCAGGAATCAGATGGTGTGGGACTTCAGCAGCAGCACTGGCAGCTGGAAGGCAATGAGGCAACGCCCTCAATTCTAAAAGAAAATTATTTCTATCCTATCATTAACTCTAGGATAAAATTAAAATATTTCAGACTTACATGAACTCAAAAAAGTTATCTGCTATGCATCCATTCTATCCTTTCTCAGAAAAGCTAGTGGAGAATGTCTGAATTAAGGAGAGAATAAACACCACCACCAACAACAACAACAACAAAGGAGAGAATAAACAAATAACAGGTTAAATAGGATCCAACTGCAAAAAGAATTGAAAAAAAATTCCCAGGCCCTGATTTCAAGCTATACTACTTCGAGCTATATTAATGTTTTGTAATCAAAAAATTGTATGGTATTGGTATAAAAACAGACACACAGATCAATGGAACAGAACAGCTCTCTGTTCTCCCAGAAATAAACACATATAGATGGTCAACTAACTTTATAACAAAGAAGCCAAGAATAATACACTGAGGAAAAGAGAGTCTCTTCAACAAATGGTGCTGGAAAAACTGGACAGCCACTTGCAGAAGAATAACACTGGATCACCATCTTACACCATACACAAAAATTAACTCAAAATGGATCAAAGACTTTTAAACCTGAAACCTGAAGCCCTAACACTCTTAGAAGAAAACATAGGTGGTAAGCTCCTTGACGTCAGTCTCGACAATTTTTTGGATTTGACAACAAAAGCAAAGGCAGCAAGTGGGACAACATCAAACTAAACAGCTGCACAGGAACTAGGAAAAGACTAACAAAATGAAAAAGCAACCTACCAAATGAGAGAAAATAATTTAAAATCACATATCAGGTAAGGGGTTAATAACCAAAGCATACAAAGAATTCAGGGCACCAGAGTGGCTCAGACAGTTAAGTGTCTGACTCTCAATTTAAGCTCAGGTCCCAATCTCATCGTTTATGGGTTTTTTAACAGCTTGGGATTCATTCTCTCTCTTTCTCTCTCCCTCCTCGCTCCCCCGCATGCACATGTTCTCTCAAAATAAATAAAAATAAACATTTAAGGGGCCCCTGCTGGGTGGCTCAGGTCATGATCTCATGGTATGGGAATTCAAGCCCCACACTGGGTTCTCTGCTGTCAGTGCAGAGTCACTTCAGATCCTCTGTCTCTCTCTCTCTCTGTCCTTCCCCCACTAGTGTACAGGCATATGCTCTCAAAAATAAATAAACATTAAATTTTTTAAAAAAGAAATAACCATTTTTAAAAATTAAAAAATTAAATTTAAAATTTTTTAAATAAAAAAAATGCATATAACTCAACAGCCAACTAAAACAAAAAGAAAACACAAAAAACACACACCCACAAAAAAACTACAATCCAATTAGAAAATGGGCAGAGGATCTATACAGACATCTTTCCAAAGAAGAGACATTGATACACAGTAAATGAAATTAAAATGAAAAAATGACAAATGTAAATGAAACTTCTCTATGATCTAGCAATTCTACTTCTGGGTACTTTTCTGAAGAAAACGAAAACAGTTTTCAAAAAGACACATGCACCCCATGGTCAATGCAGCTTTAGTGACAACAGCCAAGATATGGAAGCAACCTAAGTGTCCACCCATGTTTGAATGGATACAAAAAAAGGTACAAAATTCAGTGGAATATTATTCGCCATAAAAAAGGCAACCTTGCTGTCTCCAACAACATGGATGGGCCTTGTAGGCACTGTACTAAGTTTTACTAAGACAGAGAAAGACAAACACCATGTGATCTCACTTACATGTGGAATCTGGAAAAAATAAATTTAAAAACAAACAAGCATATGGCTACAAAGGTGGAGTAAGGGTAGGGGCAAGAAAGTGAAGGGGGTTACAAAGTATAAACTTCCAGGGGCACCTGGCTGGCTCAGCTGGTAGAGCATGCGACTCTTGATCTCAGGGTTATGAGTTGGAGCCCCACATTCGGAATAGAGATTACTTAAAAATCTTTATAAAAAAGAAGTATAAACTTCCAGCCATAAAATACATGTCATGGAGAAGGAACGTACAATATGGTGACTATAGTTAAGAATATGGCATTATATATTTAAAAGTTGCAAAGAAAGTAGATCATACATGTTTTCATCACGAGAGAAAAAACTAAAATTTTAAATTTTAAATAAAAAAAGAAAAAGAAATTGCCAGTGGGACAGCTGTGCACCAGGCCTAAAGGAAGCAGTCCAACGAGAGAAGAGCACTGAGACCAAGATGATGCCTCCCCAAGGGGTGAGGGAGTGTGGGGGTGTATGTAGATCACACTGAGAGGTTTTAGGAGTCCATCCCTTGAAATATATTAGTGATAAGCACACAGAACACTAAACTAACAACAACAAAAGACAGGTAATTCATTACAAGAAATGCAATCATAATTCACAAGAAACCTCAGTGATTAAAAAAAAAACATATAAATATACCCATATAATAAGGCAAATACAAATACCTTTTTAGTCAAAAGTTGTGACCTAACTATTGGAAGATGAGGGGAAGGAAGCTGTAGGTGAGGCCGGGAGAGGGCTAAAGATGCTAAATCCTAAATCTGCACAAGAAGCTAGGACTATTTCAATTGTAAAAATCCAGAAGGAACAGTAGAAGCATGTTCTATAAACATTTAGAAGCAAATAGCAGAAGGGGCGCCTGGGTGGCTCAGCTGGTTAAGCGTCCGACTTCAGCTCAGGTCATGACCTTACGGTTTGTGGGTTCGAGCCCCGTGTCAGGCTCTGTGCTGACTGCCAGCTCAGAGCCCGGAGCCTGTTTCAGATTCTGTGTCTCCCTCTCTCTCTGACCCTCCCCTGCTCATGCTGTCTGTCTCTCTCAGAAATAAATAAAAAATTAAAAAAAAAAAAAGAAGCAAATAGCAGAAGACACAGCCCAGAGTACAAGTGGTTGCCTCTGGATAAAGAACTAGGAGATCAAAGAATGTTCTTTTTCATCATGAACACTATGATTCTACTGACTTTTATACTGTGCGTGTGTATACATTATTTTGTGTGTATATATTATATACATTACTTTGTTAAAACAATAAAGCGATGCTTAAGAAAAAGAAATCATCTAAAACATATAAAATACTACATATAAACAAGACGAAAACATACATACAAAACCGTACAAAACCCATGATCTCTCCTATGTGTAATTCTGAAATCTAACAAGCTATAAAAATCACCCAAGTTAGGTGGCAAATTCATTTGGAGAAAAACCTGCCCTGAACTGATGTGAGGCTTTTTCTAAGCTTTATTTGTTCCATTTCATCTATCAGACATGCCTTTCACTGCAGAATTGCTATGATGTTTCCTTAGGAGGTATCACCTGAACATCCATTTCTGTCCTCGACCTCATGCTTACATGCACCATATTAATCTATCTAAAATCTATAAAATTTCCAATTCCAAACCACGTGTAGTCTCAAAGGGTTTGCATAAAGTGTGTAGTCACGTGTTACATATTTTCTACAGGGATAGATATGTGCTTACAAAGAAAAAGAACAGAAAGGATATATTCATACAAGATCTATGGTGAAGGGGGGCTTCAGTCTATCCAAAGTGTCCAATTTTTTGCAAGAACATCATCATTATTTTTAGAACAACATCATTCCTAATGTCGTAAGGAATACACTTAACTTTTAAAAACACAGAAACTTCTACAGTGACAGATATTGTATTACTAATTTGTAGAGCTAAATTCGGCCTCTACGAAGAAGGCATAGAGTGAAGACAGCCTCTCCACCAGGAAATGTCACTGGAAACAGGGCCTTCACAGAGGTAGTCACGTTAAGACAAGGCCATCAGGGTGGCCCCGAAGCCAAAATGGCTGGTGTCCTTATGAGAAAAAGTAACACAGACACAGGGAAGACGCAATGTGAAGACAAAGAGACACACAGAAGGAAGACGGAGGCAGACACTGAAGGCCTACAAAGCAGAGGAATGCCAAGGACGGCCGGCAAACTTCCGGACACCAGGCAAGAACGGAGCGGACTCTCCCCCACAGGCTCGGAGAGGGCATGGCCCCGGGGACAGCCCGATTTCTACTTCCACAGTAAGCGTGTGCTGTGTAAGCCCCCTCGCGTGCGGCCCTCTGCCACAGCGGCCCTCGTACATCATCCACGCCTACTCGTGTCTGACCTCTCACTGACTGGACTACTCAATCCATAAAGAATCACGTCCACTTCAGACACCACTGTGTCTACACCCTTGGGTCCGCTGCCTCACACAGGTAGCCATTCAGAAATGTGTGCAAGAGGAAAGAGTCCAGAAAGGAATCAGTTTCAGGGGAAAAGGTGTCAAAGGCAAGTTGTGACAGAAATGGTTAAGAATAGCACTCTCAACCACTGAGTCGTGGCACCGGTGCAGAAACGCCAGTTATCAAGTTCAAGCCCAGGTTGAGGAGTTATTTTCTTTGCTTTTTACAGGACTATAAATGAGAACTAACTCCAGGTAATCCCCATAATTAATGACACCCTCATTCCTTTGTATGCTGATGTGTTTTCTTGAATGTCACTGGGACACGTGGAATTAGAAAGACATGCCAAGAATTGCATCTCACTCTGGAGTCCCCACGGAACAGTATTTTACAGGGAAAACACATTAAGGACTGCTGCACGGAGAACGGAAGACGGCGACTAATAACAGTAGTAACAGTGTCAGTAAATAATGGCTCACGGTTATTAAGCACATACTCTTTTCCAGGCACACAAAGCTATGCATTTTACAAACACTGACTTATTTAGCCTCACCTGGATTACTGCAACAGCTTCATAACGAGCCTCACTGAACACACGCCTGTCCCCAAAAGTCTTTTCCAAATACCGCAGCCAGAGCGACCCTCTGCTCAAATAACATCACTGCTCCACTCAACACACGGCTCCCACCTCCCCCAGAGGGAAAGCCCGAGCCCTTGCAAAAGCTGAGCATCAGCAGGACCTAAATGCCTCGCTGATGTCATGGCTAAGCCTCCTCCTGTCACACTTCCCAGTCCCTGCCACTGGCCTCCTTGCTGTTCCTCGATTCTCCCAAGCACCCTCCACCTCAGGTCCTCTTGCTGCCCTGTCTCCTACACCACAACTCCCCACTCCCCCACCCCCCACCCCAGGTACAGCTGCAGAACTTACTTGCCCACTTTCTAGGGTTCTGTGCTCAACTCAGTAAGGCTTTGCCTGATCACCCAGCAGTATCAGGGCAGGACTGCTGTGAGCCAAACCCTTTCCCCCACTGTTCCACCTATTGCTATAACTACTCAGCTGTAAAATTTTTCTTAGTCTTAAAACTTTTAAATGATACATTATGACATTAAGACTTTTACGATGAATATATACCTGTAGCTGTTGAAGATCATCTTCCTGAATGTTCTGGGACAAATTATAAATCTAGAAAACAAAAATCCAGATTGATACCACTCTCGCTTACTTGAAAGGAACCCCAAATAAGCAAAAGCACTGAACAGAAGCTTTGTACAACTAAAGGTATACGTAGCAGTACCCAAGGTCTGTCCAAACAGTAATACTATCTGTCTTTTGGAAAACGATGCATCTAAGGTTGAAATCACATAATTCTTCCTTTACTGCTTAAAAAACAGTTTTCCTAAGTTCTTACCAAATCTCCAGTTCCTGTGTGTTGTAATTAATGTAATTTCAATTTCCACTTTTCTCACTTTTTTTGGAGAATTATACATATACTTACAACCAAAATAGAAAAACAGTTTAAGCTCCTTTTTGAGTTTGTAAGAGCTTAACTTCTATCTGTAGTCTAAAAAGAACATTTACACATCACCTAAGGATTCTGATAACAGAACAATAACTGAAAACAGATATACTCCATTTATCTTACTTCCTCTGGAAACTTTTATCCTAGTCGAGTGGTGTTACCTGAACAGAACTGGTCATGGTGCTTAGAGCGAAGATGGTGGCACAGTCCTTCACGGTGGACTGACTGTCAAATGCCCCCTGGGTATCCATCAAAACGACTGCCACCTAAGAGAAAGGAAAAGACCAACAGAACAAGTTAAGAGTAAGAAAGGGAAAAATGCAAAAAAGAAATTGAAAAGTATAAGTGACATGTAAATGAGGCTTTGGCACTTGTTTGTAAATTGCACAGAACAGTAGTTATTTAGGTGCTCTGTCTTGATCAGAGACTTTTCCTGGAGATTATCTACCCTGACCTGATGAGATGATATTAAACAAAGGCCTAAAGAGCAATACATATGGAAGGGAAAAGTCCCCCGCCAATTAAGAGTCAAATGTTGGGGACCCTGGGTGGCTCAGTCAGTTGAGTGTCCAACTTCGGCCCAGATCATGATCTCCCAGTCCATGAGTTTGAGCCCTGCATCGGGCTCTGTGCTGACAGCTGAGAGCCTGAAGCCTGCTTTGGATTGTGTCTCCCTCTCTCTACCCCTCCCCCAGCTCATGCTCTCTGTCTCTCAAAAATGCATAAACATTAATTTAAAAAAAAAGAGAGTCAAATGTTAAAACCAATTAGCTTACCTACCAAGCCAGTCACTCATTTTTATTCACAAAAATGATATTATTATTTTATATAACTTCTATATCAGATTCAAGTAATCACATTCTATATTTTTGAGTTTATTTTCACATACCCAACCCACTACTACTGTGGTAGAAGAGATATGATATAAATCCACACAAAAGAAAGTACTACGCATAAGGATAAAAATCAAACCAAATGAAGTTTCTGGCCTCAATACACTGAAACCTAATGACAGACATAAAGGCTTTGTCCTTTCCATACTTACTCATTTTGTGAAAAGGATACGGTCAAACTAAGTAATCAACACTAATTATAGCTGAAACAAAAGAATATCTACACACAAAAGGATCCCTACCTCACATCACTTATAAAAATTAACTCAAAATGGATCAAAAACCTAAATGTAAAAACTAAAACCACAAAACCCTTAGAAGGAAACAGAGGTGCTTCCAAGATCTTTGTGATCTTGGATTAAGCAAAGGTTTCTTAAATATGACACATAAAGCACAAGCAAATAAAGAAAAAAATATACAAATTGGATTTCATCAAAATTTAAAACTTCTGCACATCAAGAGACACTATTAAGAAAATTAAAAGATAACCTATGGAATGAATGAAAGAAACTGCAAATTATCTATGTTGATGAGGATCAAGTATCCAATATATATAAAGAACAATTCAACAATAAAAAGACAAATGATCCAACTAACAAGTGAATTTGATTTGAATAGATATTTCTCCCAAGAAAATATATAAGTGGCTAGTAAATACAGAAAAATATTCTCAACATCATTAGTCATCATGGAAACACAAATGCAAAGCAAAGTCACAATGAACCAAAATAAAAAGCTTTTGAACAAATGGAATTTTTAATTTTTATATTAAAAAGAAAAAAGCTCCTGCACAACAAAGGAAACAACCAAAAAAACACAAAGGCACTACTGAGTAAGAAAAGATATTTACAAATGATATATCCAATAAAGGGTTAATATCTAAAATATATAAAGAACTTATTTACCTCAACACTAAAAGGTAAATACTGATTAAAAGTGGTTAGAGAGGGGGGTGCCTGGGTCGCTCAGTCGGTAAAGTGTCTGACTTCAGCTCAGGTCATGATCTCACAGTTCGTGGGTTCGAGACCCGCGTCGGGCTCTGTGCTGACAGCTCAGAGTCTGGACCCTGCTTCAGATTCTGTGTGTGTTTCTCTCTCTCTGCTTCTCCCCCGCTCACAGTCTGTCTCTCTTTCTCTTTCAAAAATAAATAAACATTAAAAATTAAAAAAAAACAAAAACAGAACCCTATGCACTGTTGGTGGAAAAGTAAACTGGTGTAACCACTATGGAAAACAGTATGGAAGTTCCTCAAAAATTAAAAATAAGAAATAACAAGTATTCATGAGGATGTGGACAAAAAGAGCCCTCATGCACTTCTGGCAAGAATGTAAACTGGTATAGCCAATGCAGAAAACAGTATGGAGGTTCCTTAAAAACCTCCACCTGTATGGTTCAGTGGGTTAGGTGTCTGACTCTCGGTTTCGGCTCAGGTCATAATCTCACAGTTCATGGTTTGAGCCCTGTCAGGCTCCATGCTGACCATGCAGAGGCTGCTTGGGATTCTCTCTCTCTGCGCCTTCCCCACTTACACATGCTATCTCTATCAAAATAAATCATATCTTTTTTAAAAAAGTAAAAATAGAACTACCATATGATCCAGCAATTCCTCTTCTAGGCATCTACCTAAAAGAATTCAAATCAGTATCTCAAGATATATCCACTCCCATGGTCATTGCTTCCGTGGTCATAGACCGATGAATGAGTACAGAAAATGTGGTATCTACCTACAATGGACTACTACTGAGTCTTAAAAAGGAAAGAATCCTGCCCTACACAACATGGATGAACCCAGAGGATATGGAGATAAGCCAGTGACAGAAGGACAAATACTGCCCGATTCCACTTACATGAGGCATCTAAAATAGTCAAACTCAGAGAAAGAGAACAGAATGGTGGTTGGCAGAGGAGAAGGCTAAATGGGAGTTGCTTAATGGGTATAAAGTTTCAGTTACACATGATGGACAATTTCTCGAAATCTACTACACGGCATACTGCCTACCGTTAATGATACTATATTATGCACTTACAATTCTAAGAGGGTAGATCTCATGTTAAAGGCTCCTAACCACAGTAAAATAAGGAAAAAGAAAACCTAGGTTTACACAAAAACCTGTACATGAATGCTCGTGGTAGCATTACTCATAATAGCCACAAAGTAAAAATAACCCAAATATCCTTCAAATGATGAAAAGTGTGACACGTCCGTACCACAGAGTATTACTCAGCCATGAAAAGAAATGGAGCACTGATGATGCTACCCCGTGGATGGGGCCAGAGGGCCCTGCACTGGGTGTGGGGAGAGGCCAGACGCAAAGACCACAGGGACTCCATCTGTAGGAAACGCTGAGAGTAAGCAGATCCACGGGGAAGGAAAGCAGAGCAGGAGTGGCCTGGTGCTGTGAAAAGAGGGAAATGGGGGAGTGACTGCTAATGAGTACTAGGTGTCTTTTTGGGGTGATGAAAATGTTCTGGAATTAGACATTGGTGCTACTTGCACAGCCTCTTGAGTATATAAAAAACTGCTGAATTGTACACATTTTAACAAAATATTTATTTTGAGAGAGAGCGAGCAAGTAAGCAGGAGAGAGGCAGAAAGAGAGGGACAGACAGAACCCCAAGCAGACTCCGTGCTGTCAGTGCAGAGCCTGACATGGGGCTCAAGCTCATGAACCGAGAGACTGTGAGCTGAGCAGAAATCAAGAGTCGAGCACTTAACCAACTGAGCCACGCAGGGGACCCTGACTTATATAGTTTTAAAAGATGAAATTTATGATATGTGAATTATGTCTCAATAAAAAAAGAGTTCATCGTGGCACATATTACAAAAAGAAAAATAAGGCAAATAAGGGAAACAAGAGGAAATGCTAAAGAGAAGCTCTTGAGGCACAGGTCATACGTACACTCAGATAAAGTGCTGGACGTCTGGGGGAGATGGCATTCTCGTATCACGTAGTGAAACGGTAAACTGTCACAAGCATGGTCCAGAACAATTTCGCAGTTGCTAGAAAAGGGGAAATGGGCACTCACACCTAGCCGTTCCACTCCAAGGTGGCTCTAATGTTCTGGACCAGAACCCAGAGAAAGAAATATATTTAACATCATGACTAAATACATTACACACATACATAAGGCTGAAACTAAATTTGTATGCACACTGCACTCTGATACTTTCTGCTCTCTGTTCTAGTGCTTTTTTTTAAATACTGGTCATGAGCCAATAAATTGATTTCTCTACCCTTAATGGGTAGTGGACAGAGTTCAAAAACTGTAGCCTGAAGTCATGCTTACACAGTTACTCAAAGAGAGATTTATCAGATTGTTCACTGTAGCAAGGATTATAAAATTTTTTTAATTTTTTCAAATTAATTTTTAAAAAGGAGACAATCTAAATGGGTTTCATTTAATTTAATGGAGTAGGTAAATGGACAAAATAAAATAATACATATTCATGTGATTACCACAAAACAGTTAAAAAGAATAAACTGGAGCTACATATTTAAAAGTAGATATTCAATTAAAACATACAAATAAATGATCTACTTCTTTAGCCAGATAAGTGCTAAGCTAAAATCTCAACAAGTATATTTAAAAATTTTTTTTAATGTTTTATTTATTTTTGAGAGAGAGTGAAAGAGAGAGACAGCGAGCAGCGGAGGGTCAGAAAGAGACACAGAATCCAAAGACCGACTCCAGGCTCTGAGCTAGCTGTCAGCACAGAGCCTGAGGCAGGGCTCGAACCCACGAACCGTGAGATCATGACCTGAGCCGAAGTCAGACGCTTAACTAACTGAGCCACCCAGGCACCCCTCACCAACTATATTTAAAAGTAAGACAATCATGGAGCACCTACATGGCTCTATTTCTGTCCCTCAAAAATGAATAAAAGTTTAAAAAAAAAAAAAAGAAAGAAAGACAATCATGTGAAACTTTGATTTGGGAAACTTCTAAACAACTGCTTCTTGGCGCGGCACTTATCCATTATTTGTTGAAAGCATTCACGACCCTGCTGAAGGTCCAAACATAATGGTTTTAAAAAGAGCAGGATGGGGCACCTGGGTGGCTTAGTCGGTTAAGCGTCCGACTTTTGCTTAGGTCATGATCTCGCGGTTTGTGGGTTCGAGCCCCCCGTCAGGCTCTGTGCTGACTGCCAGCTCAGAGCCTGGAGCCTAGTTCAGAGTCTGTGTCTCCCTCTCTCTCTGACTCTTCCCTGCTCACGCTGTCTCTCTCTCTCTCTCTTTCCTAGAAATAAATAAAAATATTAAAAAAAAAAAAAGAGCAGGAAACACGACATCAAGGCATCCCTACACACGTGTTAGGATTGCCAAAATCAAGACGACTGACATCAAATGCTGACAAGGATGTGGAACATCAGGAAACTTTCACCATTGCTCAAAAACAGTGCAAAATGACACAGCAACTTTGGAAGACAGTTTGGCAGTTGCTCACAAAACTAAACATCACCTTACACACAATCCAACAACCACGCTCCTTGGTATTTACTCAAACGAGCTGAAACCTGCTCACAAATGCTTACAGCAGCTTTATTCATAATTGCCAAAACTTGGGGGGAGGGGTACAGCTCAGGGGTACAGCATTTGACTGCATAACTGCCAACACTTGGAAGCAAACAAGATGTTCTTCAGTAGGCGAACAGATACACTGCGGTGCATCCATATAATGGAATATTATTCAGCAATAAAAAGAAATGGGCTATCAAGCCATTAAAAAATGTGAGAAACCATGAAAGTACATTGCTAAGGGAAAGAAGCCAATCAAAAAAGGCTATAGACTGTACGATGCCAACTATACGACATTCCAGAAAAGGCAAAACTATGGAGACAGTAAGATCAGAGGTTGGTAGTTCTGGGAGGAGGAGGAGGGGGAGGGAGGGGGAAGAGGCAGGAACAAACAGGTGGAGCACAAAGGATCGTCAGAGCAGTACACCTATTCTGTCTGATACAATAATGGTAGCTGCATATCAGTACATGTTTACCAAAACCCACAGAATGTAGAACACAAAGAGGGCACCCAATGTAAACTGTGGGCTTTAGTTAATAGCGATGTATCAACATTGGTTCATTAATTATAACAATTGCATCAAACTAATATAAGATATAAATAATAGGGGAAACAGGCTGAGGGGAGGGGGTGTGAGAAGTCAGCAGTTTCTGATCATTTTCCCATAAACCTAAAATCACCCTAAAAAAATAAAGTCTATTTGGGGCACCTCGGTGGCTCAGTCGGTTAAACATCTGACTTTGGCTCAGGTCATGATCTCATGGTTCGTGACTTTGAGCCCCATGTCAGGCTCTGTGCTGACAGCTCAGAGCCTGGAGCCTGCTTTCGGATTCTGTGACTCCCTCTCTCTCTGCCTCTCCCCTGCTCATGCTCTGTCTCTCTCTCCCTCTCTCTCTGTCAAAACTAAATAAACATTTAAAAAAATTAAAAAAAGGGGCACCTGGGTGGCTCAGTTGGTTAAGCGTCCAACTTCGGCTCAGGTCAGATCTCATGGTTCATGGGTTCGAGCCCCGCATCGGGCTCTGTGCTGACAGCTCAGAGCCTGGAGCCTGTTTCAGATTCTGTGTCTTCCTCTCTCTCTGCCCCTCCCCCACTCATGCTCTGTCTCTCTGTCTCAAAAATAAACTATAAAAAAATTTTAAAGAAAAAAAATAAAAAAATAAAAAGATTCTATCCTTCTGCCCCTCTTCCCCACTCATGCGCTCTCTCTAAAATAAAATAATAATAATATAATAATAATAATAAATAAATAGGGGCACATGGGTGGCTCAGTCACTTTAGAATCTGACTCTTGAGGGGCACCTGGGTGGCTCAGTCGGTTAAGCCTCCAACTTCAGCTCAGGTCATGATCTCACGGTTCGTGGGTTCGAGCCCCACATCAGGCTCTGGGCTGACAGCTCAGAGCCTGGAGCCTGCTTTGGATTCTGTGTCTCCCTCTCTCTCTGCTCCTCCCACACTCATGCTCTGTTTCTATCTCAAAAAATAAATAAACATTAAAAAAAAAAAGAATCTGACTCTTGATTTCCATTCAGGTTATGATCTCACAGTTCGTGGGACTGAGCCCCACACCAGGCTCTGTGCTAACAGCATGGAGCCTACTTGGGATTCTCTCTCTCCCCCTCACTCTCTGCCCCTCCCCTACAAGAGCAAACTCTCTCTCTCTCTCAAAATAAACAAACATTTAAAAAAAAAAACAAAAAACAATGAAAGTACTAAAGTTTAAAAAAGAAAGAAAGAAACAATGTCAGGAAAAAGGCAAGGAAGTGACATCTTTAAAGCACCTAAAGAAAAGAACTGTCAGCCTAGAATTCTATACCCAGCATAAATATTTTCCAAATAAAGGCAAAATAAACACTTTGCAGATATGTGAAAACTGAGGGGCGCCTGGGCAGGTCAGTTGATTAAGCATCCAACTCTTGATTTCAGCACAGGTCATGATCTCAGAGTCATGAAATCAAGCCCCACACGGGACTCCATGCTCAGCATGGAGTCTTGCTTGACACTCTTTCTCTCTCCCCCCTTCACACTTGCGCACTGTCTAAATAAATAAATAACTGAAAGAGGTCAGCACCAGCAGAGAAGCACTACAAGAAACACTAAAGGGGGGGGCGCCTGGGTGGCTCAGTCAATTAAGTGTCCAACTTCGGCTCAGGTCATGATCTCGCGGTTTGTGGGTTCGAGCTCCACGTCGGGCTCTGTGCTGACAGCCAGCTCAGAGCCCGGAGCCTGTCTTTGGATTCTGCATCTCCCTCTCTCTAACCCTCCCCTGCTCAGGCGGTCTCTCTCTCTCAAAAATAAAAAAAACTTTAAAAAAAAAAAAAAAAGAAAACACTAAAGGAAGTCCTTCAGACAGAAGGAAAAGTGGACACAAAAAATATAAATATGGACCACCAGAAAATGAAGAGCACAGTTAATGATAACTACGTGGGTAAATATATGACTTCTTTCTTATCACTTAAATATCTTTAAAAGATAATTGAATGTTTTAGCTGATTGTTTAAACAAACAAAAAAATAAACACAATGTTATTAAAATAAAATTTGTGACAACAGCCCAGAAGCTGGGGGGGGAGGGGTGGCGGGGGGAATGGAATTTCTATTATAGCTCAATAAAGCTGCTAAAAAATTAAAATGTTGGATAAAATAATATCTAAAGATCCTTCCATGGAAAAGTTTCTACTGTTATATTTCAACGTTGCAACTCCTTATTCTCCTAGATTCTTTCTTTAAAAAATTTCCATTTTGTTACATATTTTTTGTATGTGCATCCATGCATTCAAAAGCAAATTAGAGAGTTTTCCAATATACATTTCTCCTGAGACCTCCCTAAGAGAAAAAGAGAAAGTATTAAAATAATTGATGAGGAAATTTACAAGGAAAAAGAACAAAAGATGTGGAAAGAGCACTCAAGAGTTGTGTATCAATCCTCCAGCTCCCAAAATACCGAATGACAGAACATTTAGGAAAACGTTGAAACTAAACAACCTGGAAAAGACTCAAAACTGAGAGGCACAGACAGCTGTGGACACATGCTTTAAGATGGAACTAAAAACAGAAGGAATGGGTGAAGATCTGTTTCAGAAACAGTGATACCCCCAAATCCTCTCTGCCACTTTGACTCTGACCAAAAAATGGCAGGGAAGGCTCTATGACCGTAGCTTACTAGGCACAGAAGAGATGGGGCACGATGTCTACTGGCAGCTGGGGGGCAAGGAAGGGGTGCTCACCTTCTGAACTGTGAGACACCCCCCTACTGCCCTTTCTCTCTCAGCTCCCAGAACAACGGCCGCCAGCTCTATGTCACCTATGTCATAGCGATTTTTTTATTAGAAACCTTATATTACTATTTGACCTTGTAAACTATACTCATACGTTAATTTTAAACCATGCATTTATATCACTTTGATTAAAAAAAAATTTTAATGTTTATTTTTGGGAGAGTACAAGCAAGGGAGGGAGGAGCAGAGAGAGGGGGACAGAGGACCCGAAACTGGCTCTGCACTGACACATCTCCCCCCCGATGTGGGGCTTGAACTCACGAGCCACAAGGCCATGACCAGCGCTGATTTCAGACGCTCAGCCGACTGAGCCACCCAGGTGCCCCTTGATAAATATTATTTTTAACTGAATTATCAGAGTACACATTAAAGTTCTCATTTGGTTGTTTTTGTGAAGTTAAAAGTCTTTTCTTCCTTACCTTCTTCCCACCTGGCTTCTCCACGGTGAAAACTTCACTCCAGATCTGAATCCCAGTGGTTTCTGGGTCAGAGCCCCCTCTCCATGAAAACCCTGTTAACGGTTCTTCTGAGTCACCCAACCAGTTTGAACGGCCACCTTCCTTCTATAGGAGAAATGGGCGATTTCCATTAAATCTTAATGTTTGAGTAATTTTACATACCAAGGATAATCCATGAGCTTATTTAGCTCTTTTGGACACAAAAGTCTCATTTTCTAACCTAAGCTGCAAGAATTCTCACTTACCTGGAAGTATAAGTATCGTAGCATAAAGTCCAGAAAGAAGGATTTGCCCTTTCGGAAGGCACCAGCCACGGACACGACCACCACATCGAGGTCCCGGATGTGGTCCTGCAAGAGGATGCTGGCCAAAGCTTTCTCTTCCAGCTCAAAAGAATGCTGGTCTTTCTGAACCAAAACCACCTGCACTGGTCCAGGCTTTCCGGTCTCCATGGCAACACCTAGATCGTTGGAGAGAAAAAATGAAATGTCACATCTTTTTAAAATTTGTATTTTTGAACATGGGAAAAGCAAGACCTTCTTCAACAGCACAAAAGCACCAACCATAAAGGAAAAAATGACAAATCAGACTCCATCAAAATTAAGAATTCTTGTTCATTAAAAGACATCATTAAGAGAAAGTAAAAATGAAAACCACAGGCTAGGAGAACATATTCACAATACCTGTATCCAAAACACTCATACCCAGAATCAGTACAGAGATCTAGAAGGACAAAATATTACAATCTTAAAAATAGCAATAAGCAAAAGGCACTTCATGAAAAAGGATATCCAAATGGCCAATAATCATGTAAAGAGGTGTCTCCATATCCTTACTTATCAAAGAAAACATAAATTAAAACCATAATGAGATACCACCACCTGTCCACCTGAAAGATTAAATTTTAAAATACGGATGAGAGGATACCAACTGTGGGAGAAAATATGGTACAACTGGAACTTTCACACACATTCTGATGAGAACATAACCACTCTGGAAAGCTGCTTGGCAATATCTATTAAACCTAAACATAGCTACAATCTAGCAATTCTACTCCTAGGTATATAAGAGAAATAAATGCTTATGTCCACCAAAAGACGTAAATATAAGAATGTTCACATCAGCTTTATTCAAAATAGTCCCAAACTAGAAACAATCCAAATGTCCATCAACAGTAGTAAGGGTGCCCACCACTGCTAAGCCTTTTACGTACATTGTATTTAATCCTCAGAACAACTCTCTGAGGTGAATACCCTCCCATATTTAAAAATAAGGAAACTAGGGCTTACAAAAGCTAAACATCTTGTCCAACAAGTTCTGAAGAAAAGCCTGAAAGGATCTTTAGGGGCGAGGCTTGCATATCACTCTTAATAACCTAGTCAACATTTTAGGGGCAATTAATTCTTTAGTTCAAAATTAAGCACTAACTAGTAGTTTCCCTGCCACAGCTGAAAGCACAGAGGTATTTAATTCTTGGAAATTAAGAGCCAGGGCACCTGGGTGGCTCAATTGGTTAAGCGTCTGACTTCAACTCCGGTCATGGTCTCACCGTTCGTGGCTTTGAGCCCCGTGTTGGGCTCTGTGCTGATAGCATGGAGCCTGCTTGGGATTCTCTCTCCCCCTCTCTACTCTTCCTCTGCTTGCACTTTCTCTCTCTCTCAAAAATAAACAAACTTAATTGAAAAAAGAAAGAAATTTCGAGCCACTTAGTAGCTACAGACTTATGGAAAGTTTTCTAAAAGCTACCAGTGTGGCACAGGGATGAAGCAAAGCACTATTTTCCTAAACGTGAGTACATGCCACAGGCATTAGAGATGTTTTCATGTAGTTAAAAGGAGATTTTTTATTTTAATAATTATGTATTTTAATGTGTATTAGGACATAAAACCATGTTTTAACAGACTATTGCTTAGAAGGATGAGAAGTTTAAAAGGTGAATCAATTCAAAGTAAACTGAGGGGCACCTGGGTGGCTCAGTCAGTTGAATGCATGATTTCGGCTCAGGTCATGATCTCGCAGCTTGTGGGTTCGAGCCCCACATGGGGCTCTGTGCTGACAGCTCAGAGCCTGGAGCCCGCTTCGGATTCCGCATCTCCTTCTCTGCTCCTCCCTTGCTCATGCTGTCTCTTTCAAAACTAAGTAAACATTAAAAATTTTTAAATAATAATAATAAAGTAAATTGAAGGATAAATACTAAGTAAAGCACAGTACAGGTAAGCAGATATGGCCAAAATCACAAATGTGGTCCCCAAATTACTTTTGTCTGGGGAAGACTGAATGAAGGCTGCATGATCACAGCGGGCCAAGCCACAAGCAGCGTCACTGTCATACTGTACCCTTTACGCTAAGAGAGTTGCTGCTCATTTTTTTTTTTTAATATTTTTATTTATTTCTAGGAGAGAGAGAGAGAGAGAGAGAGAGAGACAGCGTGAGCAGGGGAGGGTCAGAGAGAGAGGGAGTCACAGACTGAAACAGGCTCCAGGCTCTGAGCTGGCAGTCAGCACAGAGCCCGACGCGGGGCTCGAACCCACCAACCGCGAGATCATGACCTAAGCGAAAGTCGGACGCTCAACCGACTAAGCCACCCAGGCGCCCCATCATTTTTTATACTTAAAATGTCAGACAGCAACAAAGGGTTCTGGCCACTTTTTCAATTTTTGCAGACTACTGGAAAAACAAGTTATAAACACACAATCACTGTCATGATAGCATTGTAATAAATGGATATTAGTATTTTTCTTTCCCATTATTACTGCCTGGATAAAAAGGAAACATTTCTGAGAATATTCTCTTACAGTTCTTTTTACTGCCACAAAAGCAGGTGAATCCAGGACCTAAAGACCTTCCATCTTTCATATAAAAGAACTAACAAGAACAATTTATTCAGACCTTATGGGTAAGCCCATAAGTCTTTAATGGCGGAATAGAGGAAGTTGAAAGAGCCAGCCTCATGAACTTACTTGTGAAATCCCGGGGGCCTGTGTGAAGCTCTGTGCAATACAGTTCCAAACAAAGTCCCTGAGATGGCTGCTCGCCCCCCCAATATTCATCTTCCCCTCCCGCTATGGCAACGGATTTTTAGCTGGGCCTAACACCGCCCGAAAAGAACCCAACCCTGTAGCAGGTGTATCACCATGTGACTAAGTTCTAACTGGAAATGATCTGGCAACTTCCAGGTCCCGCATTTCCCCCGTCCTGCTAGCTGGATGTACTAGTGGGTGACCGTCATCCTGCACCGGGCACAGGAGGGCAACACCCCAGGAAGACTGGAGCAACAGGAGAGGTGCGGCCGAGGGCTTCATGCGGCAGAACTGCCATGCTGCCTCACGGCTACGTGAGTGAGCGAGTGAGCGAGTGAGCGAGCGAGTGTCTACCTTGTTTAAATGGCTTACTTAAAGGCTCTAGCACATACAGCCAAGCCCAGTAACAAGCACAACAGGCCCCCGGGACTTCACAAGTAAGTTCATGAGGCTGGCTCTTTCAACTTCCTCTATTCCGCCATTCGAGTCTGCTGAGCCACGTGGACGTGCTGACACACAGCAGGCCCACAACAAACGAGCGTAAAAAGAATGAACCGTGTGCTCTGGAACATGTGGAAAGTGACGACCCCGAGGATGCAGGTGGCTGTGTCAGAGCAACAGGCGCAGAAGGTAAGGTCACTGCGCTGCAGACGAGATGGAATAATCCAGTGACGAGAACGTGTGCGGCTGTGCCCAAGGAACTGCGCTTCCAGAGAAGATGACTACGGAGAAGGACAGTTGGGAAGGCGAAGGTGATAAGGGCTCCCCTCACCTCTTCCTCCTCCTGCCCAGTGAAAAGGAAAAGAACTGCGCTCCGTGGAGCTGGAGGACCCGGGTGATCTTGCATCTCTTCACGACAGTCTACTGGGCTCGCTGGATTAAAAAGGTCTTGTTCCTCTGGTTTGGTTCCACTTAAGGGAAAATCATTTTGAACGGCACACACCACCAATAACTCAACTGAAATAGAGTTGCTCTCTTTTCACCACATCATCTTTCTCTCGTTTCCTGAGACAAGACAGTATCATCGATCTCCGAAATAAAAACTGTATTTCTGGGGCGCCTGGGTGGCTTAGTCGGTTAAGCGTCCGACTTTTGCTTAGGTCATGATCTCGAGGTTCGTGGGTTCGAGCCCCGCGTCGGGCTCTGTGCTGACTGCCAGCTCAGAGCCTGGAGCCTGTTTCAGTCTGTGATTCCCTCTCTCTCTGACCCTCCCCTGCTCATGCTGTCTCTCTCTCTCTCCTAGAAATAAATAAAACATTTAAAATAAAAAAAATTAAAAAATTAAAAAAACTGTATTTCTACTCACACCTTTCCAGATGTCATATAAATGTGCTTTGCTCTTAAAATAAATTTTTTTTAAGGGGCACCTGGGTGGCTCAGTCGGTTAAGCGTCTGACTTCGGCTCAGGTCATGATCTCATGGTTTGTGGGTTCGAGACCCATGTCAGGCTCTGTGCTGACAGCTCAGTGCCTGGAGCCTGCTTCCGATTCTGTCTCCCTCTCTCTCGGCCCCTCCCCCACTCATGCTCTGTCTCTCTCGGTCTCTTAAAAATAGATAAACATTAAAAAATTTTTTTTTACTTTTTTAAGATTTTGCTTACTTAAGTAAGCTCTACACCTTACATGGGGTGTAGAAAACAAGAATCACATGCTCCTCCAACTGAACCAGCCAGGTGCCCCCCCAAATATTTTTTTAAAAAGAGGCACCTGGTGGGGCGCCTGGGTGGCTCAGTCGGTTAAGTGTCCAATTTTGGCTCAGGTCATGATCTCATGGTTTGTAGGTTCAAGCTCCATGTCGGGCTCTGTGCTTGTGCTGACAGCTAGCTCAGAGTCTAGAGCCTGCTTCTAATTCTGTGCCTCCCTCTCTCTCTAACCCTCCCCTGCTCACGATGTTTCTCTCTCTCTCTCTCTTCCAAAAATAAATAAAACATTTTAAAAAATTTTATAAAGAGGCACCTGGTTGGCTCAGTGGGAAGAACATGTATGTAACTCTTGATCTCGGGGTCGTGAGTTTGAGCCCATGTAACTCTTGATCTCGGGGTTGTGAGTTTGAGCCCCACACGAGGTGTCAAGATTATTTAAATAAAACTTTAAAAAGTAAATTTTTAATAAACAAATAAATGTCCTTTGCTGACTTCTCTGCATACCTCAGGCTCCCTAATCCCTTAAGATTCCTTCATCAAAACTCTAGCTTAGGCCATACCACCTCCCAATCTTTCTTGCCAGTCGGGCACCGTCCCCAAGGGTTGCTTTAATGATAAGACCTCATCCATTAGGGCTGACCTTCATTATAGCACATAAACACATCATGACAGCAAGTACACAAAGGGCTACCAAACACTTTATGGACTGACAACTCAAAGCTAAATCTCCATCCTCTACGCCAAAGCTGTTCATGGTTCTCCCCACTGCCTTTGTTCCTCTAATTCCTTACTCCCCTC